ATCTATTGACTTGTTCTCGTCCATAAAGAGCCTGATACAAACAAAATGTTCTGCCCCACAAACACGGGTGGATTGAAATCATCGCCCACACCATCAGTGCTTGCTGGTTAGTAACTCCACCCTCCCTTTTTTGTGATGTTAGGCTCATTTACGCTTATTTTTTGGATACATATCATACCTCACACAATGCTCTGTGTTTCACATCCTGTTGGAAAACACTATTTCTATAAGTACCATGTTACAAGCTTATCAGACAGTTACAAATTATGGACTGTGGGTAAGGCTTCGATGCAATGTTTTTATTGACTATATAGTGAAGTGTAGGTTACGAATCAGAGTATAGGCATTAGAAAGGGTATAGTTTTGGATATTTCTTTACCATAGTAGGCGGAAAAGTGGAGATTTATATTAGTTACAGATAAGGTAAGATAACGAGTGGTGAAATAATAATAATGGCAAGGCAACACAGTGTACAGATGAGTAAAAAAGCTGATAAATAGACAAGAAGTAACTCACACTAAATTCGCGCTGAGGTTGTTTTGTTCTATGCTAACCGGTTGATAGGTGACAGGTTCTGTGCTTGTACGACCACTGTCAGTAGGCAATCAATTGTGCGTTTCTTCTGGTGTTTTAGGGTATTTATAAGCGTCGTTTAGCGACCGAGTATTGATAGATCCAGTGAGTTGCCTGTCTACTTCAATTGAAAAGAATTAGTGAGGGGAAAGTATTTAATACAACTACAAGGTAGGGAAATAAGGCGATTCAGTCTATATATGTAGAGAGCCTATGATGTCTGTGTGGGACGTGGATGTGTTCGTTTGCACCAGATCTATGCAGGTGAGGGGTTGATTAATGAGTCTTGTAAACGTATGTAATTTGTCTGCCATGCGTACTTCAGAAGGCAGACTGTTCCATATCAATGCGTACTTGATAAGGAAGAAGTTTTCACGTGTTTTTGATCTGTGTTTTTCAATTTTGACAGTGGATACTTTGTCTCGAAGGTTGTATCCATGTGAGTCTTGGTAGAGAGCTATATTACATGTGGAATAAGTAAGGTTTTTAAGGAGTCTGAAATAAAGAATTAAGTTAGACCTAAGCCTTCTTTTCCAGAGGGGTTCTAGTCCTAAGATATGGCATCTGGATTTGTAGTCAGTGAGTTGGTCATTCTTAAGTATTTTGCGAGTGAAGTCTCGCTGTATTCCTTCCACCTTAAGTATATCAGATAGGCGTAGGTTGGAAAATAAGAACGAGCAGTATTCGACGATGGGTCTTACGCAGGTTTTATACCGGATAATTTTAGTTTCCTTTTGAAAGAAATTACGAAGGATGAAGCCAAGCAATCTCCGCGTTTGAGATGCTTTAGTTGAAATATGTTCAGAGAAGTTAAGACTGTCGGAGTAATGTACCCCAAGGTCAGTTACTGATGTTAGTCTGAGCAGTGGGTTTTTGTTAAGTGCTAGTTTTAGTTTAAGTGACGTGTTACCAATACATAGCCAACCGCATTTCTCTGTGTTGAGCTCTAGCCCCCAGAGTTTGCACCAGTCGTCTACTTTGTTGAGTTCATGTTGGATCGTTTGCATAGTACTTCGTACATCACCAATGTCAGTTTTATAGATGACTTTTAAGTCATCAGCGTAAAGGTAGGTCTTACCTGTGGTAAAGCACTTGCATATATTGTTGATATAAATTATAAAGAGCAATGGGCCCAAGACACTACCCTGCACAACACCACTGGTTATTGGTCGAGGTGTAGATGTTGTAGAGTTAAGTTTGGTTATTTGGTATCTGTTTGTGAGGAAAGACTTAATCCATTGCAATAGGGAGTTTGTAATTCCAACTGACTGGAGTCTGTTGATTAGAAGATTATGGGGTACTTTGTCAAAGGCTTTCTTTATATCGAAATAAAGTATAATCACTAGCTTTTTCTGGTCACGTATGCGAGTAACATCGGTAAAGAAGTCTATCAGACATGTACTACATGATCTTGTTCTAATGAAACCATGTTGTGTTGGGTCTATTAGTTCTTCCTTAAGTAGGTGATCTGATAGTTGACTTTGTATCACTTTTTCTATTATGCGCGAAATAACTGGGGTGATATTTATAGGTCTGTAGTTTCCGACCAGGTTTCTCGGTCCTGATTTGTGTTTGGGAAGAACACACGTTACCTTCCAGGCTTCAGGATATGTACCCGCCTCTAGTGATAATGTGTATATTTTTAGCAATAACGTATGTATATCCGGCCCCGACATTTTATAGAGAATTGATGGTATATCATCAACACCAGAGCTCGCACTCGGCTTAAGGGTTTTGATGGCGGTATGTATACTCCTAATGTCAAAGTTTATGGTGCTAATATAGCTTTTGCTTATGCATTTTATGTTAAAATCTGGGGCATTAGATGTATTCCCGTTTTGTGAAAACCATTCACTTAGCAGTTCGCATATGACGGTTTGGTCATAGTACGTCACGCCATCGTGCAGTAAAGAGTGAATGTTGTGATCTTTGTTCTTCATCATCCGTTTTTCAAGGAGCCGACATAAGTTTTGGACTTTAGATGCAGCTGTGAGCGCAGTACGTTCTTCTGTCTGTTTGTTTTTGTTGTGATGACTTTGCACTCCTTCAAGTACAGAGTATACCTGGTGCAGGGCACTAAAGTCTTTTGATGTAAAGTACGTCTTTCTTAGTTTTCGTAGCTCAGACTTAGCCTTTTGGTTGATGTAGGGAGCAATTGTTTTGAAAGCAATTTTAGAAGGGATGGTAGTGTCTAGTGCAGATTTGGTGGTAGTATTGAATATTTCCAGTGTTTCTAAAAGGTTATCACTGGTGAAGAAAGTGTTCCAGTGAGAATGCTTCATAAGAAACCGAAAGTTACTCCAGTCGGCGTTCGCATAGTCTCTATATTGGAAACACGTATTTAATGTCTTTAATTTTTTGCGCTTGGCATGAATCGGAAGGGTGCAGAAGACTATTTTATGATCGCTATTATGGGACTTCTCGCCAACCACCATTGATGCTGGTGTGACATTGTGACAGAATATTAAGTCAAGAATGTTGTGGTTTCGGGTAGGCAAGTTAACATGTTGCTGCCAACCGTGTATGTCTAAGGACCATAGTATTCCTTCGCAGCACGGTGGGCCAGAATGTGTCTTCCAGTTGATGGTTGGAAGGTTGAAATCACCACAGACAATTTTGTAGGCGAAGTCAAGCGAGGCAGCCTTAGCAAATGACTCACTTATAATGGTGTCAGTCAGACTGGGGGTATTCGGAGCTCGATATATACATCCGATTAGTATTTTACATTCAAGGGTGTGTACAGTAAGCCACATCGAATCTGGTACTTTACTGAGGATATGATCACTAAAGATTTCCGTCCTCATGTTTTTTGATGCATATATGAGACAACCGCCACCCTACTTGGTGACTCGGTCACAGCGGAAGAGCTCATACGTGTCTATTTGGAGGTACGTGTCTGTGATATCGGAGGACAACCAACTTTCCGTTATCAAAACAAGTGAGGGGTTGTGTAAAAGTAATAGGGCGCGTAGTTGAGTCATCTTATTCTGAATAGATCGGGCATTAATTAACATTAGGATACTCTTATCTTTTAACCTGCGTAGACCGTTTCACTCGATGGCCAGAAGCAGTACCTATTATGGACATTACTGTTGAAACATTGGATCACGCCTTCGTCGAACGATGTGTAGCGAATTTCGGCTGCCCTTCAACCATCACTACAGAACGCGGACAACAGTTCAAATCTGGACTTTTCCGTTGTCCGACCGCATTATTAGGAATCACTCGCTTCCGAACGACCGCCTACCACCCACAAGCAAACGGTTTGGTAGGACGTTTTCACCGACAATTAAATGCTTCGCTATCAGCTGCAAACGTTTCACAGTGGACCGGCGCCCTTCCACTCGTCTTACTAGGTATCCGCAATGCAGTGAAAGCTGACATTGGATACACTACAGCTCAACTCTTTCATGGAACGTCATGCATCCGTACCAGGTCACGTTTCAGAACGGCGTGCAAAAATTCTCCTACAATCACTGGCCAGATTAGATCAGTCACTTCTTGATATGTTGATAAGCCATCAAATATATCTTTTAACATCCTCGCTTCAGACTTTTGATTTCACTGGGTGGGTGCGATCCGATTATAGGTGTTACTGGTAAAGTGTTGGCAAACTACAATACTGGTGGCATCTTCACAGCGATCTCAGGAGAACAAATAATTATAGGGTTGGCACCACCATAGGCTTCAGGGTCTCATAGCCCATTCGTGATTCATTTCATTTCTTGGACAAAGAAACTTTTAGAGTATTATATTCGTCTTTTGTGATATCGCGTTTGGAATACGGCATTCAAGCGGTGGGTTCCTGTTTCAGATATGATGCGGATATACAAGAATGAGTTGAAAGGTGAGGGACCAAAATGGTGGAAGGTCCCGCTGCCCTATCTGACGAAGACAAACTGGGAAGCTTAACGTATTTCAATTATTTTATCTCATGCTTTTGGTTAGTTTAACAGTAGATCACCATATAGTGAACGGTGATTTTGGCGATAACGTTTTATCTTTTCCTTCCATCTGGTACCGATCACCTGAGTGGACATTCCAAGAAAGTTCAAAAATCGAGATACAATCGTTTACATCTGGGGTTCCGTTTCTATCACTGAGTGGCAAATTACTGGAACACTCAATATCATCACTTTCTGACGATAAACTCAAGACAAAATTGGATCTTCCTAGCAATAAACCACAAGGATTAATGTGAGTTGATTGACCTCCTATTCTTATTAGTGAAACTGATCCACGCCGTAGACCGAATCGTTTACTACCGTTGTCACTGAAGGATACGCGATATTGGTCTACGAGGTGGGATACTCGATTTTGTAGATTGAACAGTGGATTATGTCGAGATGTGAGTTTTTTTTACCTTAGTAAAACCTTCTAGAGTTGATGTAGGACTGGCAAGACTATAATTTATGGACGAGTCAAACAGAAGCGTTTATGGTTTTCAAGGTCGCGGCGCCAATTTCAGTACCTGATGCTCATGTACAATCGATTGACAAACGATTTTAGAGAAGTCGTGACAATTAAGCGGGTACAATAAATGGGACTACTAAGGAATTCCTTTATTTGTAGATGAGGTAATCAGTTGGCTTGTAGACCTTGTTCAGACTACCGTGATGATGTTGTCTTTCGATGTTATATATGTTTGAGGAAGAAGTCAGGCAGTATAGTAACTTTTCTCTCTCGATCCAGATTGAGACTGAGGCAGATTGTAATAATTGCTGTGAACTGTATAACAAAAGCACCAGTAATATTGTCTGCAATATTCGCAGATGTTACTGAAGCTTCGGCTGTTCAGTGGTATTACTATGTGTGGATATATGCGTAATAAAAAATGACAAACTTACACAACCGGAGTACACACGAACAATATTAAAGCTATGTGGTCGAGTCTGGGAGAGTTTTTACGACTTTATTATGACTCCTGAGACCGAGTGTAATGGAACCATATGAATGAGTTCCTCTACCTCATGCATTACGATTTTAGAACCTTTGAACCTCTTTTTAACCTTGAAAAGTTTGTGAAACATGTAAAAGAAGTGTAACCACTCTAATTTTGTGTTGTATAATATATTTCTACCCTATTCTAACTGTTAGCTGGTTGGCTAATATTTCTCAAGTTCACTTGAGATTCGTTCATGGGCCGTCCATAAATTATAGTCTCGCCGGTTCAGGTTCTCCTTACCTAAAAGAAGCAGTCGGTCGTAGTTCCCCCATAAATGTCTGGAATTATGCACCGTACACTGACAGCACGGCGTGCTATGATGTGCCTTGATGAGAGTCCTGATTGCAAGGACTCTCTAAACTAAAGATGTTGAGGAGATAAGGACTATCACTCTTAAGTAGAGCCCCATTAGTAGTTTTTCAAGGTAATATTCCTTAGGTTAGAAGTTTTGTCCGTTTATCGCGCTCCCGAACGTTATTTTCTGCCATCGGATTGTCGGCATTAAGGCTTGTGTGTTGTTACCCTAATAGGGTAAGATGGAGCATTGAGACCATAATTTATACACGAGCTTCGAGTGACACTAAGGTGACCCTAAAAAAAGTCACCTAATTTTTAGGGTTTAAAGAGGATCACAAATTAGTATGAGGAATTAGGATAAGGATTTAGATTTAGGGTTTTCATCACGAACTGATATAATCTATAATGCCAATACGATACTTGGCCGTGTGGATAAATGAAAATTGCTCACAACTCCGGGACTTGCTATCTGTAATTTCATTGGTTCGTCCATAGGTTACGATCTCACCAGCGACACATACTTGCACCCTCGTTAATGTTTGTATGATAATCTGCTACTTGATTTATTTTACAGGACTCGCTAGCTATGTGCTCTGCAGAGCAGGTAATTGATTACTTTTATGTTTGCGGCGTAGATTATGGAGTTGGCCTAGAGAGCTTTAACTCAGGTAATATTTTGTTTAGTGTGCATTTGATGTTTCCTAGGTGAAAAACGTGATGTTTGTCTGGATATTCCTCCTCTAAAGCGGCCCTACAAGTGCCGTGTTCTTCAACATTTTCCTGAATATTCTCCAAATTGTCCTTTTGATGAGGAGTCCACTGCACTGGTATTAAAAATTATTAACTCAATTATGATTGCTTTGTAGGTTACGATGCCCCAAGGTCTCAATATATTTAGTCAAAGTAGCCCATTATTTAGCCGGTTTCATTTGCCTCAAAGACATACTTTTATAATTACTAGGGAAGATGGTACTCGTGTTCATGGCTTAGCACTGCTTTTTTGCGAACTCGTTACACATGAAGGCTTTAAAGAGGCAGTTAGCTCACTACAAATGATATACGCTGCAGATCTTCAGTCTCTTAGGCTCTCATCGCCTACAATGGACGGGCTTAATCCAGGGGCTATCAAGGAATGCTTTGCGGGTGAGAAAGATTCGCTCTTTACTACAAAGGTAAGTATTGTTGTTAGACGCTAGCTACCAAATGCATTTTGATTAGTGTTTTGTGACGTGAACGATCTACAGTCATGTCATATCCTTAGCATTATTTCCCTACACTGTTTTTAGCATTATATATATATATATATATAGGGGAGACTAAGACGTTGTATTGTGTTTGCTTTTGTGCCGTATTTTTTCGGTGTTCACTTTCTGATTCATATTTATCACAAGAACTTACTATGATTGTTCCTTTAGACTGCTGCAGCTAACATTACTTTGATGGCCTCATTTAATATGCAACGACCCTCATTTCAAATATTCCATCCTAGTTGTAACTTCTTGTTAACGTGATCACTAGTCGCTTTCTTAGCGGGGGTAATAAAGTGACTCATCCACTCAATTTAAACGTTAAAATTTCAAATTCGTATTTGTTGAGGCATTACAAATGTAGTTCTCTTTTAATTCGTGGTGATCGCGTTCCTTCCAAAAGAGAGCTGTCTCATTATCGTATATTATTTTCTTCCTGCAGCCGATTTAATTTATGAAACAATAAGTACGTGCAACTTTGGCTTTAAAAACCTCTAAGATAAACACATATATTCTTAGTACTATTGTGCTTCTAGCTAAGCTTAAAGTAATTTTATAGATTCCTGTCGCCCAAACTTGCAGCCAAACATATTTTCGTGGAGTGTTTCCATTGAAATATTCTGGTACCTACTTTAGATCAGTTTCGAATTCAAAGCTATAATTCATTGAGAACGGCATACTTGAGCTAGTCTAAAAAAAATAACGAAAAACAGTAGGTTTCATCAAACTTAAGTGAAATCATCGTAATTCTGATCCATAGATATTTGATCTGTAATCTATGTACTTAAAGCTTTAATTGGCGGAGTGACATTCTGTGGCCTATAAGTGACTGTTAGTACATTTGTGTTGTGCTCTTGACATATTCTTTCGTATTTGAATGTTGTTTTACTTTACTTTTTCCAGTATCTGGAATCTGGGGGTGGTGAGTTTGAGTCTTACATTTGCACGCGAGAAACTGCTTTCTTGAATAACAGATTGACTGATTATATTTCTTTTCGTGTAACTCATTCATATATGAGTACACTTGATTCGCTTCAGTGTAGTCAATCTACTTACCTTGTATATATTTTAGTATTTACATACAATATTCGTATCTAATCTTATATTGTACTTGATGCTAAGTTGTATGATTAATTCACTGTATCTTAGTAACCGATTTGAAGTTCTTGCACTCAAATTTCAGCCATATTTCAGAAACTTACTAATGTTATCCGATTGTTCAAACCGGATATGGGACTGGGTTCGGACCTGGATATATGTAGTTAAAAGTTATACTTTTTGAAGACTAACCCACCTCTAAATGAAACTTGTATAATGAACTAATGAAACATAAATTTTCCGTAGCAACATGGTTTTGATTTAGGCACGGTTCCCAGTTTATCTAGCAATCACGATTCTGTTTCACCAATAGTCACTGGTACTATTTGACCATTTTGCATCCGATATATTTACAAAGAAGTGATAATTTCGGATAGTGTAATGAGACGATAGTTCCTGTTATTGGTAACAAAAGTTATTTTGTATATGTGTGACATAATTTATCGACAACGATTCCTTATTTCTTACAGGCTATCGGCCTTTTGTCCCGTCACCCGTTCATTTTCGGTTTGTTTAATTGGTTGGAAGATTTGTGGGCTATGATGTATATTTCTCCTAATACTAAATGTATCCAATCCACTTTGGAACAATGCATTCATGATATGTTGTTTAAAACTAAACTTCCTACTGTTGGTCAGTATGTAACGTTTTCCACTCCATTCAGGACTCACTATGGCTATTGTCCTGGTTAGTTAATGATTTCCTGTATTTTTTTTCACTTTCACCATTGTAACGCTGTTTAGTCCTATTGAAGTAGAAATCTGTTCCAATCGTTTGAACAGTTATTTTTTATCGATATGTGGTTGTGGAGGTTGTTGAGTTTCACTGAAATCATAAATCGATCAATGAAACTCAACAATCTCCACAACCCTATACTGATAATTATCACGTGCTCACTAGTTGCTAGCATTTAGAGGGAATTCTTGTAGTTTCAGTGAGAAGCCATGACCAGAATAGTTCAACTGTGTCGGGTGTGAGGCAGTTACCCAACCAAGATGATGGAAGTTGGCCGCACAATATCGTGGAATGATTGAAGTTAGACATTTACACCGTTCGATACCAGCTCAGTGGTCTGCAGGTTAAGTGCTCGCACGTGAGACCGAAGATTCTGGTTCCTGAGGAGATTCATGTTGGGACGAAAGGGATGTCCAGTTATATATATATATATATATATATATATATATGATCGAGTGCGCGAAGTTCTGAAGTAGCTCATGGATTAATATGCGTAGAGATATTGGCGTCACGATCATGGTCACAGTGTTATTGACCCGGTTAGATTTAAAGGGAAATTAATGCTATAACTTGTGGCCTGGATGCCCTATTGATGTATAACGTGACAATACCGCCAATTGGAGAGCAGTGAATTATCGATCGGACCAATGACACAGGAAACCCGTACGAGCAGTCTAGAGCACTTGTCGGTCGTGCTTTATGTCTAGCCCAGGCAGTTTAAGTCCAGAACACCAATCTCAGCTTCTGCAGTATGAATTATTATATTTCAAACATAATGATTTTATATACCAAACAAACCGACCACATCATGCCATAAAATAAAAAATAACATTTGTACAAGATTTGACCAAATGTGTCTGTGAATAGGGGGAACAGTGATTAATAGACTGGGCATAGCTCAAGAATAGTAAATTGAATAATCATGGTTCATAGGTCAAAATAAAACTTATGATAAGAGGGACACGAATATGAATAGTTTAGTTACTTAGCAATTATACAATAGGAAATATACATATTACATTGGTCCATAAATAGTCCTCAAAAGTTACCATTCATGATTCTTATCGGGACATAACAATTAAATAATTAGCTGTCTCGACAACACAGTTGCCCCTATTATTAATAGTCCGACCATGTAGACCTCACAGAAAATTCCATTTATCATTTGTAAATCCATAATAGTTTCAATTGTATTTAACACTATTTTTGACCTTTTTAATAATGTTTTAAGTGAATAATATTAACATCAGTTTTGTTTGTTTTTTTCCTTGTTTCTTTCTCACTTTTTTTATATTCAGCACCCATATCACCTATAACAAATTTAATGAATGGGCAATTAAACCAAAAATATTATGTAGAATTATCATTATTTGAGTATCCTATTGAAGAATTATTTGAACTGATTGATTTGGATAATTTTATTCGTTTATTCACATGTACGCTTCTTGAATATCGTATAATTTTATTCTCAAAAGGTAAAGTAAGACAATAAATGAACTTTTTCGCTTGTTATAAATATATTACTTATTTAAAACAATCTACCCAATGCTCAATGTATTCGAAATTATCAAATCAAAACTTGGTAATGATACCTACAAACTTTTTCGCTCGTTGTCTACTAAGTTTATTATTCCACCAAACGACTTAAAGACCGGTTTTAGTCTGTGGTATGCTATTTTTGATGGTTACGTTTTTGCGTATATAATCTATTTTAATTGAACTTGAGGTCATGTCAATCATTCGTGTATAGATACAATAGTTACTGTAAGTGGAATTGAGTGCTATGTTTGAAGAGATTACGAGTTCATCTGATCTGGGAACGGAACTAAGACACAGTGAAACAATGACCAGCCCCACTAACTGGAGAGAGAATTCCCGGTTCAGAAAACGAAAATGTATTCCACAAGCAGCCATAAGCACGAACAACAACCACAAGTACAATTCAAGCGTATATATACAACATAAAAATGTCCTTAGGAAAACGTTATAAAATAGCATTAAAAGTAACAACGAACCAATAATATTTAAGGTCCTCCCAAGTGGGGAATACGACATGAAGGTGGAAATGGGCGCTTTTGGCACGAAAAGAAGAAATTTAAATTTCCAAAATAAAATTGCAAAATTAAGACATTTACCAAGTGAGTTCTGGGGATCTAACATCCCCAACATTAAGTATCCACGTAACAACTATCAGTTCACACTATTAACAGCTTAATATCATGAACGTGTATATGGCTGGTAACTTATGATTTTCGTTTGGTTTGTATACGGATATATCGATAGAGTAAATTGTTGAGACACTTGTCGAACGTTATTGATATGGAGGATTTGTGAAGATTATAGTTTTTTAACAGTTGAAATCACGAGCTGGCCTTAGTTAGACAAAGATTAAAAACTTGGAAGCAATGGATGCCCCTTTCGTCCTGGTATGGGATTCCTCAAAAGTGCGCATCCACGATCCCGCACGCGGGAATCGAACCCAGGGCATTCGGTCTCACGTATGACACTTAACCCCTAGACCACTGAGCTGGCATCCAGCGGTGCAAATGTCTAACTTCAATTAATCCATGATGTTGCGTGGCCATCTTCCATTGTCTTTGGTAGGTAACTATCCCATACCACATAGTCGAACTATACTGGTCACGGTTTCTCACTAGAACTCTAAGATTCGCATCTTGCAGGGGAGTTGTCGTAGACTGTGGATTAATTGAGGTTATACATCAACACCGTTGGATGCCGGCTCAGTGATATAGAGGTTAAGGATTCGCTTGAGGAATCATGGATGACCACTGCTGAGGATCCTCGCACTAGGACGAAAGGGGTTTCCAGTGCCTCCAGGCTTTCAGTCCTTGACTAGCTTAGATCTGTTCGTGATTTCAGTTGTGAACAAATTTGCCGAACGAATCAAGCCGTTGACGCACCTCAGGTGAGCGTTATTCGAACTAATTATTTGTAAAAACATTCAAGAATTTCATAACGAGATTTGGCATCAATGTTTAAAGTTCGTCGGATTCATATCATATCCATTTCTAAAGTTCTGGAATAAGAAAGAGATTCAACTGCTCATTAACGTAGTTAAAATGTCTTGTAATTATCAGTGTGCGAAATTGTTTTATCTTGAGTCTCAGGTTTTGCTTATCCAGAGACTCATATTATCACTATTACTATTTTGGCTATCGCCTAGCTTTCTCAGCTCTGATCATTGCTACGCCCCAGCTGAACGATTCACATCGAGGCTGAGACAATCTTAACTTCTATTCGTTGACTGATATATTTGTCTTCTACTATAGTCTCGAGTCCGATGATAGATCATATCAGTCATTGTTGCAGTTGTACATCTTATATGAATGAACTTATACAACAACGTAGATTAATTTCTTGACATCGCACCTACATGAATATGTGATTACAGTGTAAGTATAACTGCGCTAAAAATAGAAAAGAACAAAGGAAAAAGGTAAATAATTCATCAGTCATCGTTAAGATATAGTAAAACTTGTACAGCAACGGTTGGTGGGTCCACTGGAAGCTTACAATAAGAGAAACATAAAAATGTATTAATGCTGTTATCTAATAGTTATACAACAAAAATATGTATACTAGTAACCCGTAAACTCGCCCCCAAATTTACACATTCTTCGATATTCGCTTTACCACAAAACTAATTAAATCATTTGCCTTTGGTTTAGTGTTTTTCTTGACTTATCTTAGATGTCAACTGATTGAACACTAGATTGTTTATCCAATAGTGGTTTTTTTATGAGTCAGTCAATATCTCTTTTCATTTCATCAAATATCTCGACCAGCATTTAACGTAGTTTGTGTAATAAATGTTTTACTGGTGAGTTAGACATCTATGTTTTATGTTCCTTTCACTTACATATAATCTATTTTTCCTCCATGGTTTTTTTTAGTGTATTATCGTCTGATGTTGATTGCTGAATGTGTTACTTGTTTGTTATTACCATTTTATTGGCTACATGTATATGCTCCAATATTACCAGTATCATTAACTCATTTTGTCGATGCTCCTGTCCCATTTATCATGGGTATTAATATATCAGATCCTTTCAATAATAATGATCATCAAAATGAGAAATACCCATTTATTAAACAATACGATTCAGATAATCATACACAAGCATATTTCTACTCTCCTTCAGTTGAGCTAGCTAGTGAAGTATGTGGGATTTCCATGCTTTTTTTCGTTGTTGCTGATATACGTGATTTGTGTATTTTTCTCTTAACATTTTGGATATTTTGTACAGTTTTGTCTTATGAATTTACAAAACTTTCCACATTATGCTATTAAAGAAATGTTGGGATCGGGATTATAGCATCAACAGTGCTAAGAAAATCTAAATATAAGGAACGGTTCGAAAAGAAGGTATTTATAAAGATGGGTTAGAAATCAAGACTTGAGGAAGGATGGATTTCTGCTTTTCACTCAATGTATCCGACTACTTGTCACGGTTATTGAACTGATTCCAACCAGCTAGATTACGTCTACCGACATGGTTCATACCAACACCCAGTGATTTCATGGGCTGATTTCAATTCTTGGTTTTACTGCCTTAGCTTTATTTCATCTTGCTCCTACTCCAGTAATTGTTGCGTGTCAAGTCAGTGGGTGACTAGGGATACGTAACACATGCACCCAGGCACAATCATTGAAGATTTACAACTTCATAAAGCGAATTTTCATCTTGACCTAGTGTCATACATCTGACCTCAACACTGTTCACTCGTTAGTCGACAATACGTAAGTAGTGTTTCGAAGACACATGATTAAATACTTGCACCCTAGGTATTTTTCTACTCTTATCCATTAATATTTATTTAGAGATAAAAACATAGCATTGTGTGTTCTTTTTTAACCTTTTCTTTTTTCAATCCTTAAAATAGACAAACGTCTGTTATGTTTACATTGATGAAGGAAGAGTTATTGTGCCAGATGAAATTCCTGAATTTCCAAATAGTCAAGATATCAAACAATCTTTATTAGAGATTTTAAAATTAGCTAAACATCTGTCAAGAAGTATGTTTATTTGATTGTAATGCATAGAAATTGTTTTCTAGACATTATATATGGGCTAACAATAGTTGGGTTTGATATGGTAAATTAATAGTTTCCACATAAGTTATGATTAATAAACCTGTGATTTTACTCAAGCCATTGAATCAATTTACTTTGCCGTCGAAAATTCTCCAAACTCCTACCAGTAAACGAATCTCATAAAATAAAATAAATTCTAGTCCAGCGAAGGGTTCTCTTTTCAATAAATTCATCTTCAAAACTGTACAATCTCAAATATAGACTTACTTTTTAGCTTAATAATAATCATAATAATAGTGATAATAAAGTTCTGTTAAGCATGGTGGCGTGTGCTACTGATGTCGACATATATAAGCAGTATATAGCACCATTCGAAAGTGAAATGCATGGCGTCAGAAGGTTAGGAAGATTAAAGAGAAGAGAACAAGAGCAGAGAATGGTTGGTGTCGAAACGAAGAAACAATGAAGTCTGAGACAATTGATTGACATTTTGCAGATGAAGTATTTACTGTATAGTTCCCATATTTTGCCAAGATATTCTGTAATGTATTGAAATACATTTTATTGTCGCCACTGGTGTTCTCGTTCACCACAGCAACAGTGAGGTAGAATAAATAAAAGTATTGAAACGTTATTTTTATCAGTGAAACTGATAATAGTTTTATTGTTAAAGGCTTAGATATTCATCATGAAGATAGGTAGGGAAATTATAATGGGAAAAGGATGTTCATTATGATAAGCTAAGATGTTGAAATCAAGATTATCTTCAATCAGGAGAATCATGGAAACGGAAAAAAGTAGTTGGATTAAAACATCTATTGAGAAGATAGAAAGTAAAGCAGATGGCTGCGAAAGATTAAAAGTACGAATAATAAAGAAAACTATGAGAGATTAAGACCAGGGTCGAAGAAGTTGTACCAGTTTCTTTTGGACGCATAATTCTGATTCTTCCATATGTATAGCTGGTGCCTCGGCAGTGTTAAGAAGATGCATTATAACTGCTTTGGTAGCCTTATAATTACCTTTTAGATGACTTTGAACGCAGAGTTCTCTTTGATTGAGTGACCTGTATTCACAAGGTATTTGATTATTGAGCTGTTTCCGCCTCTTTTTAGCTAAGCCGGGTAATGTTTTTGAATTCTTTTGGATAAAGTACTCATCAAACGACCCACATACCTGGCTCCATATGAGGGGGTAAATTGATAAACCAACATAGAGATGGTCAAATGAGATATTTTATTCTTAAGACTATTGGTGAACATTAATCGGCTGGAGAACACTTCGCATAGTTGCTGCGAAGAACATTCTTTTTAGCGAATCGGAAATTCTCCTGTTTAAAATGTCTTGTAACCATATCGCCTTTAAATTCGATGTTCATATAGTGTTTTTTTTCAACAGAGGTTATTTGTCTTTTAAGCGGTTTGGGTTTTATATTGTCAATAAGTATCGTAAGATATCCATTTTCGATAATTATTTTCTTAAGGAGGAGGCTCAGTTCGTTATCTACGACCTCGGAACTACAAATTCTTCGTATTCGCCTAGCGAGTGATATGATTAATTTTCACTTTCGACTAATGAGGACCCAGCTGTGGGAACTTGATAGTTGGACATTCCACAAAGGTTTCCTGTAAATTGATCTTTGAGTTCCGTCGTGTTTGCTTGTCATTTCAACATGAAAGTGAATACTTTGTTTTCAAATTCAAGCGTGGAATTTATTACTGAGCGACAGTTATCAAATGTTTTCAGAAGATAATTCAAATCAAATTTGTTGTCACAAATGATAAAAATATCCAGCTTTGAAAATGAATTCACCGAAAAGAGAACTCTTCGATGAGCCTATCTTATTTTATGTCTTAATAGGTATATTCCTTTTACTTAAAAATGAATTTCAGTTTCTGTGATGGTGTAAATCTCTTGTTAACCAATTTCTAAGGATCTAACATTTACGATTGTGCTTGAACTTTCGTCCACAGTGGTCTCAGTGTTATAATATGATATACAATGCTAGCTTGTATTTAGTCTTCAAATATGAAAATTAATTATTTGCGTTTGGATAAGGTAAATGTCTTATGAATCTATGATATTCATTTGATCGTCCATGAATATACAAAAACATGTTTTCTTTCGACTCCAACGGACAGTCTGTATAACTTTTAAAAGTGGTATTAATTTATTGTATTTGCAAAGTGATATTACGTTCCTTAGAGCGAACTTTTAGATTCCTTCCTCAAATTACAATGAACATGATAGCTTTGCATACTTTCAAATAATGTTAGTTTTATTATCTATTTAGATGTTTAGTTATTTAATATATTTTGTTACTTTGATTTATAATTGGGTCTAATATACCGATGATTAATATTTTTTATTCATAACTACCAATTAGTGCATATCGGTTCACTTTTTAGGTTTTAATACTCAAATTACAACCGAACAGAATACTGCTCAGCATTTGACAGACATTTCTCAAACTACTACACCTATTAGTTGTACAACATCACATATGGCAGCTCCTGTACCTAGACCCAAACCCCCTAGTTCACTGATAAAGTTCACTGGACTTCAACGAGTAAGTATTTTATGCTACACTGATCATAATGATAATTAATGAAATATAATAGTATTTTCTACTTCTTGAATTTAGAAGTGTGATAAAGTCATTGGACTTATAAGTTAGTTTCGTGTTTCAATTTTCGCCGAAAATCAATTAGAATACAGTACAGTCTCTAGAAGAGACAATGTTATGTCACTAAAAATGGATTACTATTTATCTTAACTAAGTAGACCTCTTTGGGTGCTATACAATAGTTAAGATGAATAACATTCGTTATGCTGATGCAAATATTGTCTACCTGCTTTGTGAATTATGACTCTGCTAATCATACTATTCTTGTTCATTTTTAAGTTGAAAGATTTTAAAAGTGAATAGAAATTTGTTTGTGGTTCTTTGATTCACATTTTGTCTATGATACGATTGTATTAAACAAGTTGAACGATTAGATTCAATATAACTCTAGGTATGTCTATACATTGTTAGTAATAAACTAGCCCGGGGAAATTATTAAAAACAATTATATAATACCACGGTTTTCTTTATCTTGAGGTGAATTGTTAAGGATGAATGAAAACAAAGAAATACCTAATACATTTCACATTTCAACCTTATTCTCTTCTAATTCATTTCTAATGAGAAGGCGTCAGTGATAATTATATCTCATCTACTATATGGTGAATAGCGCTTATCGCACGGTTATTTTATATTTGTTTTCGAATAAATTTTTTTATCCTGTTTCGTCCAATTAAATGATCAGTTTTAAACTGGTAATTGGTTAATTATTTCTGAAAATTGATATAAAGGATAAATATCTCTCGACTGATCACCTTTTCTCCAAATTATGGGCGTAAATAAAGTACAAGGTACAAGATCTATTGTTTCGAATGTCCTCACGGACACGCATAATATGTTCTTGAGTACATTGTATGTGGTAGTGTTCCAATCGCTTGAAGTGTTAAAGAACACTATTAGAAATTATGAAAAGGCGACGTACTCCCATTATGCAGTTCGCGATTTTCACTTCTGTAAGAATCAGAAGCCGTATATTAGATTTGTATGTTGGAGAAACGGACGTAGAACATCTTGTGGATCCTCACAGCCGATTAGACAAAGGAGGTAAGTTAAATAGTGCTATTATGTTTTTCATAACGAGCTACAATGAACAATCAATGTCCAACCCTGATCAATTGTAACCGTGCGATTAGTGATATTCGACAATGTGTAGGGGTAAAACTGCATAAACCCGATGCTAACTTGCTACAAATTTATTCACAGCTCTGTGACAGACTTAGATTTTTCCATTATCAGTCCCTAAATCACATATCCCCGATTTGTTTATATATTAATTGGTACCTTAGAATACCAATCACTTAGCCCCCTCCATCTAATTATTCTGTTATTATTTACAGCCATTTTCATATGCATTAGAATTTGTAAAACTACTGTATGACACTTAACCACTTGATTAGTGTATTTTTCTGTTATTTATGTATAATAGTGTTGAGCCACCATGAAAGACTTATTGGACAGAAATATATCTTTGGTGTATTCGTCGTTTGTTAAATATCTAAATGTGAATGTTTGCTTTGTATAAATGACTGAATAAAATAGATACTCGCAGACATGATCTAATTGTTATAGTATTCTTCTTTGAGCTGTTTATTTACAGGGAATGCATATTGACCACTGACTGGCGGCCAATGTCATGTTTGTCTATTCTTATGTACTGGTCGAATTCTTGAATTGTAATGTAAGCACTAAGTCACTCGACATCATGTTTACTACCTTTTGATGTCAATCAGTAATCGGTAGGATACCGTGGACCTATGTTTTGTGCTAGTTGGCACTTGTTAGCGCAACCTACCTGCAGCTTTATTGGAACTTCTTTTGCTAGAATTAATAATTTATCTTACTAAGGACGCAGGGTATTAGGGAATGATGGTAAATCAGTTGATCAGGTGATGAATCTTCATCGACTGAGATGGTTGGGCCACGTGTTACGTATGCCTGAACATCGATTACCACGACGCGCAATGTTGACTAGTGTAGGGGATGGTTGGAAGAGAGTTAGGGGTGGCCAAACCAAAACATGGCATCAGTGCTTGAAGTCATTAACTTCTAGTCTGAGCCATGTTGGTAGATGTAGACTACCTGGTTGGAGTCCGTGTGACTATCGTAACCAATGGTTGGAGACGCTGGGTGACATGGCTCAGAATCGATCACAATGGCGTAGGTGTATACACTCTTTATCTTCCCTTAAACCTTGAGATTAAAATTGCTTCATAACCTTTTTCCTTCCTATACTATATCCTTATATACAACCTTTCTTTATATACTAACACCTTTAAATTAATTGCTTCTATGAATCCGGTGTTCATCTTGTGCTAATGAAGTATGACAACTTGGACCGATGCATATATGTGCCTGGTCCTACGTTGTCGCTGACTGACTGACTGACTAAGGACTTTCAGTTATATATCCTGTGTATGGTGAAGTATACAAATTTGTCTCTATAGCATATATTAGGAATTATCTCGTTATTTATGTACTGTAAGATCAATCTTTATTCATGAACCTTAAGATACTGTTCTGACTGAAACAATTTCTATTAATCAATCTACTATGGTGCTGAGTGTTTTTATATTTTCATCAATTTATCCGTATTCATAATTTTTACTTCTTATAAGGAAGTATCTTTGGCTCGTTCCAACCATTCACAATCAGTCTGTGATCAAGCTGATTCGTCTATGGAGAATAGGCAACGACAAGAACAATTCTACATACGCAAAAATAATAGCAGTAATGTTAGTGCATCGGACAGCAGTTGTACAAATCAAATAAACTATTTTGAAGTCTGTTCAAAGGCAGCTAAACAGATTATTTCAAAAGAGGTAAATATCTAACGGATTATGATTGTTTTGCGTTAGAAATTTTCATTTTATTACTGACTTACTATGGAAATTTGGGTTTTAAACAGCCTTGTGTAGAACTTTAGAATTATGTTTTAATTTACTAAACTTAACGTTCTCGTTATGTAAACTAGAACAATATTGTTTTCCAATAGGGATCTTCATTAAGCCCGACCAAAGCTTCTACCTTGATATGATGGTTGGGCTTGCCTATAGTGATGTCAGCCGAGCAAAATAGGCTAAAGCACATGTTCCTTTAGTTCCTACCGTGCTAGGCAGGTCTAATAGAAAACGGTTAGGCTAAAATCAACAACTTAAGATCCGAGAGCAGGATTATCCTTCCACGGTGTAGGCAGCCGGGAAGCGAAAACCACCCTCACACCTCTAACAACACCCGAGATCCACTTGCTCACTATCATACCCCTGCCTTACCTCTTGATAGCTCTCTTATCCCCACCAGCTAACCCTTTTCGCGAATCTTTATCACCATGCGCCACCAATGTTAACGATTCAAGTTCACGAAATGTTATTCTCGGTCTTGTGAACTCTGTAATTTTGTTTTTCCTATTCTTAACAGTTCTCTTCTATTGATTGCGTCATAATCTCTCTCGCTTATCGAATTACTACAAAAAATTGAACTCGTATGATTTTCCAAAGTAACTTTAACAAAACTTTACCAGTGAACTGAGTTACAAGACTACATAAAACATTTGTAAAATGAGTGCACCTTAAAGAAAAATGTTTGAATGTATTATGGTTCGGAATAAAAGCCAATGATGGTCCTGCTATAATTTCCTTTTACTTCATAAAATTTATAGAAACTTCCTTAACCGAAAGAATTCTTTTTGGTTATGTTTTTCTCAACTAGATCGCCCCTCCCATCATCCACTACTTCCGTCCACTCGATTTTTTAAAAATACTCATTTATTTATTTATGATTACGCTCCCTCTCCTTGGTCCATCTCTTCACAATCTCATCTTATTGTGTGGTGCATATTTATTTTCATGCCCTTATGTACCGATATTTTCATGTTTAAAGAAATAAAATAATCACTTATCGGTGTTCATTACTTCAAATTTTCTTTCTATTCCGGTAAATTTACCATGTGACGCAATTCACACCAATTAGATACTAAATCTTACTAATGCATTAGTTGTATTTAAACACTAATGCTTCTTATTCTATTTATTTATTGTGTTGTATCATGAAGACTGTTGTATTTTAAGTTCCGCGACACAGATTGTCTTTGGTTAGATGACTAACGGAACGCAGGAAGCAATATACTGCTGTTTCGTCCTAGTATAGGATTCCTGACTTAAGTAAGATGGAACCCGGGATTTTTAGTTTCTGATTACAATTACATGAATCGACTTACACCATAGAATTCACTATTTGACATCATATTACACTTTTTGATTAATCAACCTTTGTGTGAGACAAGATTCGACTTTGGTAACTTGAATTAATCACTATTTTTTCTTCTTTTATATTATACAGGTGTATTCAAGTTATACCAAATTATTACATATAAATGCAGCTATAAGAAATTTATTTCTTTCCAATTTCACAATGATATTTCAAGATTATGAAAATTATTTAATATTAGATAGGAATGGGCAAAAACCAGATAATATTGGAAATATTTCCTGTGGTCTACATGGATTTGATAAAGTTGGCTTTTTAAGTGATCAACCAGAAACGCACTTACCTTTTTTGAGTGCATTTCTAGAAACTCAAATGTTTGCCAGTTTTTTAGATTCACGTACAAAATGGCATAATTTATCACAGAATAAAATTATGCATAGTTCTAATTCACCATCAGTGCATTTAACTGTTTTTCATTTATTGTTATCGAGATCACGCCATGAACGAAAAACAATATTTCGGTCTAATAATAGTAATGATAATACTTTAATGAATACAGCTTTATTACCGGAAAACATTAACTATGACGTGATGTTTGATTATAATCAACAACTTCAGCACAATTCAAATTTCCCTGATTTCAATGCAAAACCAATATTTGAAAATGTAAATTGTCAAACTAGTAATAATGGTGAGTTTAATTGCCTTATTGATTTATTATATTGTTGTAAAATTGCACATAGTTTTATTGAGATTGGTATTATTTACAGGTTTTACTCGTCACAGATTGATAATAGTCGCATTTTGTTACAAAATTGATTGGATACCACCTACCTAAGGGTTCAAATGATTGAGCGTCCGCTGCGAGGCTGGTTGGGTCATGCGTAAGTACTGCTGAGGGGTCTTATGTCAGAACGAAACATCTATTCAGTGCTTCTCGGTTTTAAGTGGTACTTTAACTGAGATACATTTGTGACTGATATGACGTACAAGTACATATGACTGAAATTTTAATAACTACATAAAATATGTTTATCATTTCAGAAATGAAATGGTTGAAGTTTCTTTCATTGAAATTTCATATTCCTCTCCACCTAGTAATTGTAATTTCCAGTTAACTACATGACAAAGATGTTTGGCTAGGGAATCAACTCTGTTATCATATTGGCCTTCTTTTTAAAGATGATATGTAGTTGGTAGTTTAATTTGTACAGATTAATCGTTGAATTCTTGCATTGGAAAATTTGCATCAGTTATCTTATATTCTACTTTTAAGCCCCGACTTTTAAATAGTTAGTCGTAAATTTTTTTAAGAGTGATGGTCTGAAGGAGGTCGACAGTAAGACCAGCACACCTCACCTAGTCCCACGGATATCAGTTGTCAGTGGTAAAATCTGAAAATCGCAGAGCTAACACACCAAAGGACACTCACGAATGACCATATGTGAACGGCATCAAGGGGTTTTCTCTTGCGCTGCATGGTCACGCTCTTAGGTCGTTAAGATCACTACTTATCTAGTTGTCTTTTGAGACACCTCAAGAAGAAATATCGTTCCACACAGTAGGGAACCGGGAAGTGATAATCACCCTCCTGCCCTCCTTCAGCACTAGAGTTAATGAGAGGTATGCACCAGAACCGTTGTTGTAGTCATTTTATTAACCTCAATTATTTTTGTCTTTCTGTGAATATTGAATACCTTATTATTTCCCATAAAGCTGTCATATGGAGTTTGTTTTGTTTCTATATGCTATATATTTATTATCATATTTATTGCTACTCTAACTGGTGTGATAAAATGTTCCAAGTAATCACTACATATTTAACTATAATGTACTTTATTTCTAACTAGAGGTCATAGAGCCCATTTTGCTTAACGAATTCCTTATTAAATTTAGATCACTTACCAGACTTATTATATGATATTAAAACTGAATCAAGTATCACTACCAACAACAACAAACCCTCTACTCATAATCAATTATCATCGAAATCAGTTCACTCATCTGGATGTGTACTACCATCGTCATCATCACCATCATTCAGTATAGTTAGTGAACAACAATTTGGTAAGTTTCCAACATTAAATAACCACATGCTACGATCGTATGCGTCATCAGTTGCAGAGATAATGATGTCTCCAAGTCATAAACAGTTTTTGTCCAATTCTGTTGGTAATAATAGTAGTCAACAATCAAAATGTAATAAGTGTTCGTTATTATCCACACATGGTTCCTGTACATCATCTCCATTCAATCACTACTGTCCTAATGCCGTTTCACAATCAGATAAAACTAGTCGACATACTATATCCCCAACAGCCAATATCGAAACAGCATCACCATTATCGTCGTCTCAATGTTTATTAACAAGTAATCCGGTTGGTTGCATGTCTACACCGATTAAACGAATTGTTCCTTTATCTTCTATCACCAATACTATGAATACAGATGCTTTAAAAAACTTAAATAAATCAGATAACATGGTAAGGCTTTTTTTCTTTCTTTTGACTATTTAACTTAATTTTCTCAATTTTTTTTTATAAAAACCGTTCCTACTGATGATAGCTGCATTTGGTGCTCTCTTTTGTTGTTTAACATTTACCTCTCTTAAATAAGCATTAGCAACTTGTTTCTGTTTGATGTGTTATCTTTCTTGTTTTTAGACAGTTGCTATCAAAGAATTTACTTCAAGTGACAAAAGATTTGGTTTCTGGTTTCCAGTTATGTGTTTCCTGACTTAATTTGAATGTTTATTTGGATTAAAAATGATAGATAATTATGAAACGATAGTCGAAAGTTTCATCAGTTCGATGATCTACCCCTAATAAAATAACTAGTAAATGTCACATGAAATGTTCTACTGTTTTTGATGCTCGAGACTATCCACAATCTCTTTAATGTTTGTTGTGCCCAGCTAATTTCTATAATTTTTCTGTTTATCTAGTGGATGAGTAGTTCTACAAATTAGTATGTAATTTTCATTGAATATTTCAGTTTAAGGTGTTGGGAAAATATCCATAACTATCTACCATGGACATATTCTCCAATGTAGTGCAACCTGACTTGCTTGATAAGAGATGCAAATACAGTTAACATCGGAGCTTGAAATGAAATCACCATTAAAAAGTACGCTTTATCCAGTGATTATCTGGTAAATGAGTCTATAAGTCTAAAGATTGGAAACACCTAAGATAACTTTAGCCATGTTAGACTTATGTATCCATCGAGAAGCATGGTATACAATAGCTTAAGCATAATACATAAAGTTTAAATTTCAATTTATTGTTATTTATGTTGACTATCAATTCATGTAGTATATTTGTCGTTATCAAATTTAACCGAAACGATTGACAAGATTAACGGAATAGATTTTTAATTGCAATTTTTCATTTGAGGTTTCATGTCCCAAACTCAATTAGGTTAAACGACTATCAGCAGTGCTATCAAGCACCGGACAGCTTTATCGTACCTGTTGTTAGACTCTTCAGCAGTACACATCTATGATCGTATCAGGAATCACTTTAGGAGCTCCAGACTTCTTGGGAAGCGACTAAACATGAGACCACTGAGTTGGCATCTCATAGTTTCCATTTGTAACTGCAATTAATTTCACGACATGGTGTGACTGTCCATTGTCATTAGTAATATTATGGTGTATGCTACTTATGTTGATAGGTATAAGTAGTATGTGGCACTAATCGAAAGTGAAACGCATGCCAGCAGATGATTGAAAGGCTCAATTGAAGAGAATGGAAGGGGATACAGAAAGTAATTGTAATAACAACAGAATTGAAAGAATCATGAATCATGTAAAAGACAACTGAAGGAAGATGTGCAAATGAAGTATTTAATGTGCGGTTTTCATATTTTACGAAAGCACTCTGTAACTTTGCATTGAATAATAAATTGGTTATTCCCACCTGAGTGTTCATTCACTACAGTATTTGCAGCACACCTGACTTGGTTGAACTCTACTGGTTACAACTTTTCATTCAAATTCCGGGGATCATTTCTTGAAGTAATTCACTAGTAAACACAATGATTATCATGATAAGATGTTATGGATGATATATTGATAACTGGAAATTTTTTGGCCATGTAAATTGGCATATGACGGTCTGTCAAGTATTAAGCATTTTATTTATGTTACTATTGTACATAGCTCATCAAACATAAACTATACATCTAAGTAGTTTTAAAATTTGCATTGCTTTCAATCAAATCACCAAAATTTTTTGTTATCACTAAACAATGATCATGAAGAATTGTATGAATGTAGTAAAGTTAAGTAGATAAATACAGAAGCGTGTGTATTTTCATTGTAGTTCCATTTACTAAAAACAACCCATATTTAAACCAACTAATCACTGTAATATCGCTTCAAGTAAAGGGTCTATTAGATTACTTGATTCATTTTATGTAAGTTGTTACTATTCCCGATGCCTTAGTAGTTAAAATACACTCGACTTCGAATCATCGGGTTAGGTTGCAGGTCTGAAGTCTGTCTCATTCACTTCGATTGGACCGCCAAACGATATTGGTGAAGTAGTGGTTCAGTAGTCAGCGGGGTTGACTTTCAGCTACTAATTCACAGGCTAACCCGACCTCTACCTAATTCGGTTTAGAAAACTAGTTATTACCACTAGCCCTCACACTTAGGGCTTGGTTTGAATTCGTATCTGGTACGTGAGATTATTTAAATTTGGATTCAGAAATCTGTTATTAGTTATATTTTTCTTGACTAATCGCGTTATACACTTAATACTAGTTAGTGTCGTATGATAAATTCCCAACTTCAATAGCTATTTTGTAATTACTTATTCTTATGTGTTCGTTTCGATCGTATGAAGTTCTACCAATTTTTTTCAATCTCACTGAATCAGGTAGTTAAACTTAATATGATTACTACTAATACCTTATTTTTTCAAATAAAATTTTATTTTTCAGAATTCTAATATATCCAACGGAAATAATACAAAATCAGTGAATCGTTGTTTTGTGTATACACATCATCAATTCGCCGATTTACAACGTAATGGAATGGCTCAAGCTAACTGGGATTTTGTTGATGCATTACTCGAAGAATGCAAGCATAGGGTAATCACAATAACGATATTCTTTTTTGTGTTTAGTTTATTTCAGTATTAATAGTTGGTAGGGGCGAAGTTATTTTGTGAATATAACTGCTATATGATGTACAATAACAACCATTGTCTTTTTTGCCTAGTTTTTTTGGTGCCAATTGAATTCTGTTGGTCACGTAAATTAGTGGTCACATTTCAGCTTGATCAACAGAGTTAGTACAGTATTAAAGGATTAAACGTATATGAAATTGATCAATACTCAATGATCTAATGGTTGCAAATAACTCAGTCCTAAAAAAGGCCAATCTTGACCCAAGTAACTCAATGGTGATGTCTCAAATTGCGAAGCTGAGTAACGCGGGTTTGAATTCCTCAAGAAATATCAGTTACTTCAAGATAACAGGTACTCCTTACTGATGAGTACCAACTAGATTGAAACAAATATCAAGCACAGCTTCCTGTCGACTACCCCCAACCACCTTACATCTGTAAATGGTTTGTCTGTTGGTTTCTTATAAAAATAACTCAATTTCCAGCAGATTTCTTGATTTAACAGTTACTACTCTTGTTTGGTTGGTACTGTAAATTATAACTAAAACATATTTAAGCCAATTCATTTATATCAAGATTTTTTCTGTCGATTGTTTTCAAAAAGACGATAACTTCAGTGAACAACCATGAGCTCCATGATCCTGAGGGAACGAATGGAGTATGAACCTGTTGTTAGTTACTGACTACCATGGGAGCACATCTCCTAACGTTTCCTCACCGCCTTGTGGATTAGACTGCTAGGTCAAAGGTTTGGGTAGTGGCTTCCTATGAAAACTACCTGATTCTGTTTGGGCGTCCGGACAGTATCCCAGCCTTAACACAAACCATTTGATTTATATGGCACATTTATATGTTTGTTGCCTCCTTGTACCAATGTTTATATGTAAATAAATAAATGTTCTACCTTTAGTGATATTTAACCTTTGGCTTAATAACTATCTGAATATTTTATCATTTAATCTCTAACACAATGACATTAATTTATTCATGTGTCATGTAGACTAAACGAATGGTTCTCAAAAAAATTGGTCAAGAAGCAATTGAAATGGGACACTGTGATCCAAATATTTCTGTAGTTGAAGAAAATACATTAGTCTCTGGTTTATGTGATCTTCTGGAACGTATATGGTCGCATGGTTTGAATAAAAAAATGGTAGGTAAAATACCAGGAGGTATCGGACCTAATGAATTGCCTATGACCTATACCTGTTTTTTTTTGAAACCGCTTTCTATTAAATTGAAACCACTCATTTTTCGTTTCTATCAACAATAATCTTTTTTCGTTTATTCGGAAGATCAATCTTATCAATGCAACATCGAAAGAAACGATGAACACATTGCATACTCTCATCAATTATATTAATTACGCTGTCACAATGCATCATAAATAAGAAATCACGATCTACAAATGTCTATGTTCTTAGTGATACAAACTGAGTAACAGGTACATAATCAGTTAAGCGTAATTCATGGTCGGTAAAAAGACATCAATAGTCAGTCACTTGGATGAATAAACATGCCATGAGCCCAATATTTTTGTAAATGCCCAATATAATAATCCACCATAGAACAATTCTGAAAGTTCCACTTTATATTCCATCGTATCTAACAGCTTTCAAAATGATATGTATAATATTTTTGTTCACTACGACAAAGCACATGCTTAAATTTGGATAAAGTTAGATTGTTTTTAACTCCTTGTAAAAAATATGTACCTATGTGTTAGATGATCAAAATTGTAATTATTTGTTTAAATTGCGAAATCACGATAAAGATGATTTCATTATGTCCAGAAAGCAAATAATCTAGAAGAAATACTCGTTCTGACACTACCCAATACATCCAAATCGCATTTGCTGGTGAAGTGAGATTGATAGTACTCATTGTTTTGAATATTTACAAAATTAATTCTGATAAATTTGACAGCGTAATGATTTAATTATTTTTTAAGCTGATTTTTTCCATGGATTATGTAAACTGAGAACCCATTAAAAACTAGAAATAACTGTGGATATGTTTTGTCTTAAAAACCTCTCAGCAATGAGTATCGACGAACACATCAAGAATCAAACCCAGGAACTCAGGCTTTACGTTCATCATTTTACTTTAGAAGCAGTGGGTTTAAGTTTAATAGTCTGCATCACTCAGTTTAACAGATCTGCAATGTAGGCTGACATCGCTCTATGTTAGTAGTTAATAACTACCTCCTTCCCCTGACATGGATATATACGCCTAACCTAAGATTAACGAACAAGCTACAATATCTAAAGCTTTTGTGTTCGTTGGATTCCTGAAGAGATCATGGATCATCTTTTGTTTACAATAATTCTCTGAGTTGGTTTAAATTGACGACAAAAAGAATTTCACCTTCAATTAATCTCCATAAGTTTTGCAACCAAATATTTGATTATTTAATGACATTTGTGATTAAAAAATGTATTTTATGTCGATCTATTTGGTAATTATACCATCATAAGTAAATAAAACGCTCATGAACTTTAGTTCGTATAACATTTTTTAGATTTTTTTGAAAATTTTTGTGTATTCTTTTTTGATAAAGGGTAAATCAGCTTTATGGTCACATTTAGTGTTATATGCTAAACGTGTTGAATTAATGAAACAAACTAATAAAGAATTAGCTATAAATGATTCTGAGTTACTCAACCTTGAATCATCACCTCCTACGTCATCATCGTGTAGTAGTTCACCGCGTATATCTGACTTACGAAGTGTTAATGTGGGCAGTGATAATTCTCACCTATCATCGGATTTGTCAACATTATCACCTGATTTACAACAAAAGTCATCACACGCCGATACAAATTATTCAGGTAATGTGTGGTTAGTACCATGTGTATTTATCTATTGTCGTTTTTTGACTCATATGATCCGCATATTTGTGCCAGTCAGTCTTAAGAAACGTAAAATCTACGTTCATGAATCAGTTCAAGTTACCCAAACTAATCAACACAAATAAATGTTCCAGGTTCTACGTCACTTATGGCTGACTGGCTGGTAGTGATGAAAGCCTGTGTACTTATTATCCGTGTTTTGTAAAATGGTATAAAGCTGTTTTGTAAAAAGATGTTTTCGAAAACTAACAAGTCTCTATCTGCCTTCTTATTTTCTGGCTTCTTGAGTTAATGAATAGTATAAACCGCTATTCGGCTATTATATCAGAACGACGATTGAAGTAATGATAACTACTAGAACTAATTTACGGATAATTCTTATATGTAGTCTTACTGTATAATTAATAAGTAACTAAATTATTATATCTATGTATTTCGTTTATTATTAGCTTTCGGTTAATCCATTAACTACTATCATATGACATACTATTCCTCATTTGTTGCCGATCTTATTACTCATGGCCTCTGCTATTTATAACCTCTGGCTTGTCTATATATAATTGTGATTTTCTTTTTATGGTGTGTTGCTGTCCGGTATGTCTGCATATAAACCGCATCTATTTGAGATATAAATTTGGTAAAAAATGATTCCTGTCTTTTGAACTCAAGGTAGTGCTTAGAGAGAAGTTTTCGAATAACAGACCAGTAGGAACTTAACTGTATTGGCTTAAGGTCATTGATTCTGGTCGGGCCAGTAATTGGCCAATTCGGGGGGATAAGTCTTTGGAAGAAATAATAAACGTGAAATAGATTAAATTAGAATTCGGATTGGTGACTTTGTACACAGCATCAGTCAGCGGTCTCGAGATATAACATTGGTCATCATTATTTCATCCATTCATTCACTCATCGTTTATTCGATTGAAAATTCCACTTTTTCTGTGTTTATAACCAACCAAGAAGTGTTCTATGTCTGTCAAAATTGTATCACACGAAGTCAATTTTAGCAATTATCGGACTATAGAGATTTCTTTGTCATTCTAGATCTATAAATTTCTAAAATATAATTCCAAACCAATAATGCACAAGTGCTCCAGGATCCTGAAGAAAGGAATGGTGCATGAACCTATTGTTGGTCGCTGACTACCATGAGAGCACATCTCCTAACGTTTCCTCACTGCCTTGTGGATTAGACTGTTAGGTCAAAGGTTTGGGAAGTGGCTTCCTATGAAAACCACCTGATTCTGTTTGGGCGTCCAGACAGTATCCCAGCTTTAACACAAACCATTTGATTTATATGGCACATATATATGTTTGGTGGCTTCTTGTACCAATGTTTGTGTGTTTAAAATAATAATAAACTATACTCAGGCATATATTCAGACGAAATATCTGCCCAGTGCTTTCTGTTTTCTAGTGGTTGTCTTACTGAAATCGGCCTGTAATTTGACACTAGTTCAACAATTTCTGTCTAACTCTTATTAAAATAGTGTATTTTTTAATATGGCTGATTCGACGATGATTTGTTCTAAATCTGTTATATACTTTAGAATCATTCTGGTTCAATATTTCTTTTCTTTTGTTTAACTGCACTGTCACAAAGGAATTCGTATTTCCAAAGTACATAATATATCGATAATTGACGTTAGTTTTGCTTTGTTCCTGTTTGGTTACCATTTAGACCTATTATTTTTATCTCTGCTGCTTATAAATGTGTACGAACTCGGTTATCGGGAGTATTAGTCAGATTCGCATTAATGTAAGCAGAAACGCAATATTCCGAAATTACTTCACAATAACCGTAACAGTACAACTTCAAATATTCTTCATGCCATTTTTATAAATGTTAGAATCATAGGTTAATAGGTGTTTCATCCAAATGCATATCAAGGTCTCATCGTTTCTAACAAAATATACTAACTGTCAGATTCTGTCAACTGGTTCAAAGTATATTTAGTATTTTTGTAATCACTTCTTTCCCTTTGGAATAAATTTTATTCTTCTTGTTCATTTATTTTCTTAGGTTGCAACTCGTTAAAACGTGTCAGCAAGTTTTCAAGTGATTCAGTACGTATGATGGAATCTAGACAGTTATCTAAAACAACTCCATCTTCTCACCGATTTGTACGTTTTCCTTGGCATGATCCATACTATCCATCCACCACATCATCTTCATCTACTTTTTCACCAAAATTATTATCTAGTTTAACTAGTTGGGGAACGAAACTTCAAGTGTTAGACTTTCATGTTTCTTCTAATCGTGTTCAATGTGCTTCATCTCGACAGAACGATCCCAGTCCAATTTCATTTCGTTTAGGTCAATCTTCTAATAACAATAATCTTGGAAATAGCAGTGTTGGTAATGTCAGTGGATCGCTCATTCCAACTAATATAAACGGTGCTGGAATGATTTTAGATTTACGTAAAATATTTGGGTCAACATTCATTGAACATTCATTGATTGACGATATTCATTCGATTCAATCAATGAAAACTGTTAAAACAGATATTGGTTTTGCCAGAGCATTTGTTCGTTTAGCTTTAGAAAAGAAGTTGTTATCCTCACATCTTACTCGTCTGTTAATGGATACTAAACTTTTAAGGTATGACTGTTTTAAAATAGGCTCTATAATATTTCATATTTTGTAAACATAGTAACTGGTTTTTAAAATTGTACTACTGCTCATTAAAAAAATATCATTTCACGTTCTTGTGTTGGCATCACATTTTTTCCAGAAGAGCTAATCCAGAACTTGGCATTATTTCATAAAGTTATTGATTGTTGCTCTGAGCCGTGTCGAGCCATAGGCGCTGACTTACCAGACCTGGGGTCTACTCAACTGTCATGACCAATATTATTTGGCGACCCTCGTTGATATGGCTCAAAATCAGTCACAGTGTCATAGATGCATTTACCAATTTTGAGTCTTACTTACCCCCTCAATACACATACATTTTTATTTGTCTTTTCAATATCACTACCATCATATTATTTTGATTCTTTTACTATTCATCTTGTTAGTTTTACCTGGTTGTCCCAAAATAGTGTTGTAACTTGGGCTACCATAATTATAACTAGCTACCAAAAAAGTAAGTGGATTAAGTTTAGAACCCGTTGATAAGCTACCTACTCATCTGTACAATTCCATCTACTTAGTTATGTTCTATAATTCTTGTGTGCAAGTTAATAATGTTGTCACTCTACGTTTACTCAAACCAAAAAACGAATTTAAAGGGAAATGGAAAGGAAATCTGCAACCTAGTGGTTGTAGGTCAAGTACTCTAACCAAAAAGTCATCATCTATTGCGATTACTAGAGAAATTTACTTACTTGTTAATATAACATCGAAATTAACCATGATTTTTGTGTTTTCCCTTTTTTTGGTTAACAAAAATTCATTAAAGTGTTCATTATATTTATATATTAAACCTTTTGCGCTAATTTGTACTAAAGACAATTTAACTATCGTATCGTATTCTATTTTACGTGTATTTTGCTTTCATATTAGGCACTTATATACAAGATATGCTTTTTTAAGATGCGAAGAAGAACGTGAACAATTCTTAGTGCATTTATTATCATTAAATGCTGTCGATTATTTTTCATTTACACGAATGATTAATCAAACTGAAATTATCTACGAAATATTTATATGTAATGGTCGAAAACATAGTAGTGGAACAACATCGACAGCAAATGCATGGATTAAAATTCATGGACATTTTGGATCAACTCAAGTGATCAAGATTCCACACGGTCACAATCTTATTGAGATCAAAGTAGATATTTCTTTTTATTTTGTTAAATGTCTACCAAATCTTTGTTTTTTTCTGTCTTGTGAGTGTTAATAAGTTTTCAATGAAACAATTTGAAATATATCTCGATAGTATATTTCCAACTTCATTAAAAATTTAAACTGATAATGTCTTTGTAATCGGAAACCTCGTCTCGCTTTTTTCGAAAAAATACCAATTTTTTATTGATCGAAATCAATCTAAACATTAAGCTAAATGTTAGTTAGAAAACCTGTTTATTGGTATACAACGTTGAATCATTCAAGATCACTTTGATAAAATCTAATGTAATGATTATTTCTTTATTTAAAAACACAAACATTGGTACAAGAAGGCAACAAACATATATATGCGCCATATAAATCAAATGGTTTGTGTTAAAGCTGGGATACTGTCTGGACGCCCAAACAGAATCAGGTGGTTTTCATAGGAAGCCACTTCCCAAACCTTTGACCTAACAGTCTAATCCACAAGGCAGTGAGGAAACGTTAGGAGATGTGCTCTCATGGTAGTCAGCGACCAACAATAGGTTCATGCACCATTCCTTTCCTCAGGATCCTGGAGCACATGTGCATTATTGGTTTGGAATCAGGGTTTTCCAACTCCTCTAGGTGGACCCCCTGTGTCCACCAACTTGGTTAAAGCGTCGGACATTCGCTTTTCGTCTTCTCATTTTTGTAAACAACAGCTCCGTCTTGAAAAAGTGGTGAGTAGAAGTCATTTAAGTAAGCATAAGTTATAGTTTTAACAGTTTTGGCAACGGATTGTGACGATAATTGTAAAATATTTAAGCTGATTATAAAGAAAAGAATATTTTGGTTTAACTCGTTAGCCTGTGATTCTGATTCAAGTGAAAATGGATTAGAATATCCCGTTGCATATGTTTTGACTGAATTTCGATCGTCAGCTGGATATACTTACATTCCAGAGTTGATTTTTACCTCGGGACTCGAACAAAGGTTATATCGAGTTAATCCTTTCGAGATAAAAACGTGCCAACAAAGATTGATCTAAATTCAGTCAAAACATCAACAGCGAGATCTTCCAATCTATTTTCAATCGAATTAAAATCTCATACCTGTTGCACAAGTAAGTAGCTATCTCAGTATCAAATGATAACACGATGAGGTTCAGATCGAACGGTACTGGATTCGCGTCCCGAAGTGAACACCTACTCCGGGATGCAGTTACATCCAGCTAATGAGTCCCAAACAGAACAAAGCACGTGTCCTGGATTTCACTGCTAACTACGTTCCATCTATACTATACGAATCTGTGGTTCTTATTGTTTGAGTAATGAAAATTAAAAACTTGGAATGGTTATTAAAGCAGTCGGAGGATAATCACTGATACTTTTTAAATAATGTGTTTAGGTGTAAACCCATCTATTGCTATGGCTTCCGTGAGTCTTAATTAGTCGAAATTAGATCGTTTGTTGTAGGTCTATACACTTTATGTTTTCCCTTAAACTATGAGATTAAAATTGCTTCATAACTTTCTTTCTGTACTATATATATATATATATATACAGAATCTTTCTTTTATATATTACCACCATTAAATTAACTACTTCTATGAATTCGGTGTACATCTTGTTGTGCTAATGAGCTATGGCAAGTTGGACCGATCCTGGTCCGACGTTGTAGCTGACTGACATTCATAATCCATTTATCGCATCTACTATATGTTCTTTATTCAGCAAATGACAAGCCATATAGACCGCCTTCTGCCATCAGAATAATACGTTCTTTGTAATGTACTCAATATGTCTGATTATCCTATCCTTTCCGTGTACATGCTTTTACATTTACATGTGATAGTTATTTATCCATGGTGGTCTAGCTTCAATTGACTCATGCTTTAAAAATATGAAAAATACTAAATCTCCACAAAACCCCCTCTGATAGTTATTTATCTGCCTTTTATTCACTTTATATTTCATCTCTGTTCTACGTGTCAATGATCATATTATTATTATTCCTTTTGTTTTAAATCATATACTCGCACTAATTAGAATCGTAATCTTGGTCTATTGTCTACATTACAAATTGGACATGATAATACTGGTTCAGCTCCGAAATGGTTTATTGAATTCATTATTGTTCATAATCGTGTTACTAATCATTTTTATTTGTAAGTTAATATATTCGATAAATGTATTGTGAAATTGTGGGGTACTCTTTTTTTCTTCCTCATCAGTTATTTTATTCACAAAGTAATTTAATATAACATCAAATATATCTTGTACTTTGTATTTGAATCATTGATACATCGAGGAATTTCACTTCACATGAATTGTTATCATCCATTACACAGAAAGTTTTCTGGTTATTGTTTTGGTCTGGTTTTTTTAGCGAAGTTGTTTTCTACAGGATGAGGTTGCTGAAAGTATAGACTAAATTATAAATGTAGACATGTATGTAATACACCAGGAGATAGGTCCGTTCATAAACTTACAATATAACTAAATATAATAATTTGTTAAACACCCGCTGTTAAGAGATCTCGTTAATTACTCGAAGAAAACCTTCAGAAGCTGGTAAAATCCTGTATACCTATGGCTTGCAAACTATCAGTCAATGAAATATTATTTCTCTTTGTGTAACTGATATAATTTTAATCATTTTGTACTTCATATATATTGCAGTTTTTTATGCATTCAGTGTTTTATAAGTAGACTACATTGATTACTTATTAGAATTTTAAATCGCATGAAGGATTGAAGCCTAGTTGTACACACGCAAAAAATCCACGAATCAGTGGTAGTGTAGTCGATGTTACTCACAAGAATGTTTGTTAGCAGTATGTAGTGGAAAGTGGCGTCGAAGGTGCAACAGTTGTGAGAATTGCCAGTAAATCGAAAACACGGCGTTGGCAGAACGCTTGCAGACCAGAATAGAAGACAGTTTGGATAGCAGAAAACACCGAAAGATGAGAATAGTCGATTGAAGGCTATGTATATGTATTGTATAAATACTTTGTAACTTCTCTCAATAAACAAACATTCCGCCTGCCAATTGTCTTTTTTACAGTAGTATTACATGCAGACGCCGAGTAAGATATCTGTAGATATAAAATCAATTCTACATTGGTTTAGTGTGTTTTGCTTTCCTTACACATCTTAGTTTCCTTATTTTTTTCGAAATGTGTCGAAATATATTAATTTATAGATTCCCATGTTATCACTGGTTCGGTTTAGGAGTTGAAGATGATGCATTAGAACGTATTCTCATTGGTGAACAAATCCGTATTGCATCAAATGATCCATGTAGGTGTACATCCTTTGTTTAATCTGTACATTTTCCTCATATTTTTGTAGTATATGAAGTGATTATTATTTAATTTTATTTCGATTTTCATTGTTTATTTCGCATTTTCATTTGTTCGATACGTGTTTTCCACTGTCCCAAAGCCTTTACTTAGCTGAAAACAGTGTAATAAAAGTAAACATCAGTGTCTTTAGATAAGTTGCTAAGATTGCTAATTATAAACAACCATTGACCCACATTAATCAAAAAGTCGAGTGTGTACACTTATGCTTTCCAACAGCCGATTGATGAGAAATTTCGAAAAATGTTCTAAACACTAGAAAGAGGGCTAGAAATAACACCTCACCACAAATAGAAAGCATTTTGACGAGGGATAAAATAATGAATCATAAATTTTCTAAAACCATTATTATACGTTCACACAGTTTGCATATTTATTGGACAGAATATGTATATCCATCTGACTTCTAAGTTGGATAGACAAAGCGACGTATATCATTAGAAATGTTAAAAAAAATTATCTCTACGTACCAAAGAATATTCTTCGTTGCTTTCAGACTAATTTTCGTTAAACATGATTAATACGGTGGTTTTTCAGTTGTTGTTTTTCTAAAAATTAGTCTCCATTTTTGAAAAATTTGGTAATAATGTCTTTCATTTCTTTATTTTTCTATACAACAAAATAAACAATACTATTTGTTGGTATATCTATTTTCAATTAAAGATACCCGTGTTGTAAGTTGTGTGCCATTGCTTTGTTTCATTTTCTTTTTAACGCTTACTCACCATTCATGCACTATACTCTCTTAGTATTCTTCCTTCTAGTCTATATATGTATGTTGATACACCTATCTAATAAGATTTAACCTGAAGTGATCATTATTTACTTTTGTAGTTTACGATGAAAACAGTTAACACTCACTCACATTGATATGTCTTTGTTTAACACTATTTTGGATTGCACTTAGCTTGCTTTTCCTTTTTAATTAAAAATTACGAGCGTTTTTAAAGTTTTTCTACGATTTTTTTCCATTTTCGCTATTGGTACAGTGGATGGTTTAGAATCTTTTTCCCTCACTCTGTGGTATACTACGCTAAATTAAATGCTTGAACGGTACACAATACAGAGACCAGATCACATTATGTCTCAGATCCAGGATTCACGACTCAGAATAGAGGACCGTAATAACACTAGATAATACTTTATTCAACGCAGTTACAAGCAATCACACTTAGTAGAAATTAATGAGAAAAAAGGAAATCACATACTTAATAGTCGTTAAGATAACATCTGTTTGTCTACACTCAATGAACAATCACGTTTTACTCTCACTGTCACACATCAGGTATAATGGTCGTTTTAATCAGTTTTTTAAGGATTCTGTCTAAATAAAAGTTGCTGTTTTTTTATCCTACCTTAATTTTCTAACGGTAAGTCTTTAATATTCTCATTTGTATTACTAAATAGTTTGTGTATCGACTTATAAACAAAAGTATATCTTGGGAATTCTCGTGTGTGTAAGTGCGTACATCATTACTAGTTTCATATTTATAAATGTTGCAGACCATATAGGACAAAATGTAATGTCTAGACACATGGCCTCTTAAACCACGGGTGATAATTCTTTCTGTTTAGAAAGCATTAGCTTAAGCTTATAATGTATTTTTCTCTACTGGCATTAATCTCAAACAAATCATGTGTGTTTTTGGTGATCAACCTCTAATTGAATTTACTATTTTTTTTAAAAACCCTTCATCATTTCATGCTAATATTATTTAGGTGGATGACTGAATTTGTTTTTTTCTACATACATACCTGTTTATTTATTTATCTGTTGAGATACGTAAACATTGATACAGAGAGGCACCAAATATATATATATATATATATATATATATATATATATGCACCACACTTCGTCATTTTATTTTTATGAGGACTGGAGTACTGCTCGAGCGCCCAAACCGAATAAGATGGTTTTCTTAGGAAGCCACTCCCCAAAGCTGTTACCTGGCAGTCTAATTCACAAATCAGTGAGGAAACGTTAGGAGATTCGCTCCCATGGTAGTCAGTGACTAACAATAGGTTCATACTCCATTCGTTCCCTCAGGATCATGGAGCACATGTGCACTATTGGTTTGGAATCAAGGTTTTTCAACTTCCCTAGATGGATACTCGCGTCGAGCATTCACTTTTCGTCTTCTCAATTTCATAAACAGCAGTGAGTAAGACTTCCTTGGAAGTGGCTGTATACACGTGGCCATGTGAAAACATTTCGAGAGAAAGAGTCTACTCTCTCCACTCTCGGTCGTACCAGAGTATGTCGGAGCATCATACCTGATATATTATACTTATTTCACATATATGCATAATACGAAAAAAACAAGAAGAAATTCTGTATGTTTTTTCCAAGAAATTATGTGGTACTCTTTCGAATGAAATATTATAATGCTTACATTTTAAATTTATAAAGTCATTTCATTTGTCATAGTATTTTAAATAATTTAGTTAGCTTTTTGATCTTTTCAATCATTGAAGAAAGTCATTGGAAGGTTTTCTATAATTGGAACTATTGTAATTACATCTCAAATCTGTCCACGTAATTCGTCCACTTTCAAAAAGCTATCTAATAAATATTGCCACCTACAGTGTTTTAATGGTTAAATCACTTTCAATCAAGTCTATCACGGGTTTAAACCGCGACGCACATAGTACAGTTTGGGCTGCCGACTAAAACTACTTTTCTTCAAACCATAAAAGTATGGTCAAAATTGTGATGGTCAAAGTAATTTTAAATTATATCACATAGATAAAGCTAAATAATACCGGGACATGTTTAAAAAAATTTTCATCGCTTTGCGTTCATGAACCTTGTTAAATTTAATATCATAACAGTAGAGCCATGTGGTACGCGCTTTGGCAACTGACTGATCATTTCAACCCTATCTAAATAATGATATTTTCTCACTTTTGTGTACTTACTCTTTATTAGTTTAACCTCATAAGTTAAATTCCTAATCTAACCTCGAACTTGGTGTTATAATATATCGTGAATTAAGTTCTTGATGGTAGTAGGTCTGTTATCTCAATGTTAACAGTTTTGTTGAAAGGATTTCGTAGAGATTAATTCGATTCATAGGTTGTATTTGTCACAGATTATTCTCAATTTAGATACCATTGAAAATCAGATGGCAATAAATATGTCTCATCCTAATATAAGACCTCCCATCAGCGCTTACCCATGACCTGTCCTGTTATCGAACCCAGAACTTTCAGGTCTCTTGTCAAATACTTTACCGACGAAACTACTGTATCGCCATCCAGTAGTACAGTTTTGACGTCAATTCGTTGTCGAAAATCGAGTGACGTTCATCCGGTGCGATTTATGGTAATTTTCATCCCCGATGTATCTGAAGTCAATTGATCAATTCTCTTTTTTCTCTCATTTAATCACGTCTACACAAACATTTTTTTAGAGGTTACACCTAACCACGTCTAATCGCACTAAATTATAATTTTCAATATTCTTTTTTTTTAATTAACTCAGTCAGTCAGCTACAACGTAGGACCAGGCACATGTATGCATCGGTCCAAGTTGCCATACCTCATTAACACAACAAGATGAACACTGAATTCATAGAAGTAGTTAATTTAATGGTGGTATTATATAAAAGAAGGATTGTAAAGAAAGTTACGAAGCCATTTTAATCTCATAGTTTACACCGTTGTGATCGATTCTGAGCCATATGACACAGAGTCTCCAACCATTGGTTATAATAGGCACACGGACCCCAACCAAGTAGTCTATATCCACCAACATGGCTCAGAGTAGAAGTTAGTGACTTTGTGGACTGGTGCCAGGTTTTGGTTTGGCTGCCCTTAGATTTCTTCCAACCGTCTCCAACACTATTCAGCATTATCCGCCTTGATAATCGATGTTCAAACACACGTAACACGTGGCCCAACCACCTCAGTTGATGAAGATTTACTATTACTTATTCGGTGATTCCAGCAGATACCAGCATTTTTTTATAAGACATCTGTGACCAAATACTTGTGACCTACGAGTATCTTCTACTCTTAACGGCCATATTTCGCAGCCGTAAAGTAGAACAGAGCGAACAAGACTATGTCATCTGTGTATTCTAAGTCGATAAGTGGACCTCCTAGTATGAGATCAATTCCTGAAAATTCAATTGACGGGAGTGTTATTTCCAGCAGTAGGTCTATGATGAAGTTAAACAAAAATGGGGATGGTGGACAGCCTTATTGGATTATTTATTTATTTATTTAAACACATATATATTGGTACAAAAGGGCACCAGGTACATATGCGCCACACAAAATAATGAAAGTAGGAAGAGAAGGGATGAAAAGATAAGGTGGGCTGAAATGTACAACCAGAAGACTCTTTCAGTTAGGAAAGTTAGAACCACTCTTTATGTAGAAAGTAAAAGAAGGTTACGGCAGGATCGTAACTGGCTTCTATTCTGAGCCATATCTGATAACGTCTCTAGCCACTGTGTTGCACTATCTCTCGGACCCCAACCAGGGAGTCGTGAAGGACCAACAAAAGCTAGCCCTTTGCAGCTCTCTTTCATGCCACGACACACGGCAAATAATGCACGACGTGGAAGTCTCTGGGACGACATTCGTAAAACATGTCCAAGCCACCGAAGTCGATGTTTCAAGATGGTGACACCAATTGAATTATCGTCCCGGCGCCCGAACACACGATGCCGAACCTCTGCATTACTAACATGGTGTTGCCACTGGATGTCAGCAATCCTTCGGAGACAACGATGATCGAACACAGAGAGTCGTCTGACATCCTCAACTCGGAGAGGCCAGGTTTCACAAGCATAGAGCAAAACTGCTCTCACCGACGCGTTGTAGATCCGACCTTTTACAGCCAGACTGACATCACGAAGGCGCCAACGATGACCCAGATTGGCATAAGCCGCTCTGGCTTTCATTATACGTGCATCAATCTCATCACTCACGCCACCACCAGCACTTATATAGCTACCTAGATACACGAACTTCTCAACTACTTCGATCTCCTCACCATCCAGGGTGAGTACAGGATGAGAATCCTGCCAGTCTTGTAGGAGTACCTTGCACTTGGAGGGTGCAAAGCACATGCCGTACCTGCGGACACTGATTACCAACTGATTAAGTGCTGATTGCATGCCTTGGGCATTATCGCACAGTAAGACAATATCATCCTCATACTCAAGGTCGAGAAGTCGTTCTCCAGGCAACATATCCACACCGCGATTACTTGCATTCATCAGAGCTGTTTCCAGGATGTCATCGATGACAAAGTTGAAGAGGAATGGTGAGATCGGGCAACCCTGTCTAACCCCACTGCTCGAATGGAACAAGGGAGAAAGGTGGTTGTATGCCCTCACTCTGCCTGAGGTGTTCGTATACAGGGCCTTTAAGATGTTAATGAACTTCTCAGGCACACGAATCGAAGGCCGCCCTGATATCAAGAAACACTACGATTGTTGGCCTGCGATAAGTATGACGGTGTTCTAACATTTGGCGGAGGGTGAAGATGTGATCAATGCATCCTCTCCCCACTCTCGGCCGTACCAGGGCATTTGGGGGGCCTTATTGGATACCACTTGATGTTGTAAAATCGGATGACAGTTCGCCATAAGCTCTCACTCGACTGGTAGAGTTCGAGTAAAGAGCCTTCACAAGGTTTATGTACTTCTGAGGTACACCTTTCAATGACAGACAGAGTCTAATTAACTCACTTTGTATTGTATTGTTCGAATCATGAACAATTTATTCACATGTTTATTACTATTCTTATCCTCTATATTTATTATGGAAGATCTTCTATTCACAACTCCATTAGCGTTATCATCAGATCCCACAGAATGTTTACAAACTTTACCCAATCGTTGTTTATCACCATCACTGTCAAGACGAAACTCGGATCAAAGTAAGTTAAAATTATAATTACAAATTATAATGTATCATATAAACCTCTGTAATTTCATGAAATTTGATATTTTACTAACGATAATGTTGCATTTTAAGCTAAAATTTCTTAGTTCCATATATATTTCAGTAAGATTTACCGCTAAAAGTATAGTGCAGGAACGAGCTGATCAGGTTCTAGGTGAGTTTTTGGTGAGACTATAATTTATGGACGACCTTTGAACGAAGATAAAGTGACCTTGAGAATATCCATCTTTTTATGATTAAAAAAGGGTTATAAACTAGTGTGAGGAATCGGGATTAAAATTTAGGCTTAGGAGTTTAAGTTCACTTAGTATTGTTTGTTTGAATCTTCCCATTGATGTTTTAGGACTGCCACTGGTCAGCCTCTAATTGGCATATGTGCATACTGTGCGTATTGCCTCGATATAGCCTAAATTCACAAGCACGGTAAGAAGGATGGATAGTGGCTAGCAGTGGAATCCAGTTTGACGCGCATTTTGTCCTATATGGGACTCGTCAGCTGGATGTACCTGCATCTCAGAGTTGATGTTACTGGATTCGAGTCCCAAAGTGAACATCAACTCTGAGTTGCAGGTACATCCAACTGACTAGTCCCAAATAGGACGAAACGTGCTTCCTAGATTCCACTGCTAGCCACTATGCACCTTTGCTTAGCAGTTTAAGGTTTTCATTACGAACTTACATCAGGTATAGTACCAAAATACGATTTAATCATATGGACAAATGAACTTTCGCTCTAAAATCCAAAATGTACTACTTTTAATGTCGTTGATTCGTCCATAAATTATAGTCTTGCCCAATTTACGCTTGTCTACATGTTTGTTAGATCATGATGATTTGGTTTTAGGATAACTCTTCGTTTAAATAATTTATCCAACTGGTCATATAGTTAGGTCAATAGTAGTATAGAGGCGCACAGTACAATGCTGATACATTTTCCTAGTATTATGTATATAAATAATCAGTGAGTTTTGTTTGTTTGTTCTTTACAATCTCATGTCTACTTCTTGGTTAAAATGTTAGTTTTACTATTTCATACTACAGTTGATTTAATTCAATTTAGTAATTATAAATTGTTTTTAATTATCCTTTAATCAGGAAATTTAAACTCTATCATAGTACATGAACGTGTAGCTAATGCAGTGAATTGTTTATTAAAATTCTTCTGTAAAACAAATAATACTAATACAATGACAACTAGTTTAACATCATTATGGTGCGGTGAACATGGTCTTGTACCAGCTTTACATTTAGTTTTCACTTATGGTTTTCGTTCAAGTCGTATATTTCAACGAAAAATCTATGTATGGGATTATTTCGGTATGTAATAGAATTCATCAGTTCACTTTTATTTACGTTTATAAATTTTTTGTCTCAAATTTATAAAAGTGTTTTTAATATTTTAATGAGTAGAAAAATTAAATGTTCCAATGTTTAATGACTCAATATAACCCACTATTTTCGGTGAATAAAGAGTTTATTTCATTTAATTAACGTAATTGTGCCGAATCTTATGTTTAAAGAGTTGACTTGGTCATAGATCTATATATTTATTTATTTTTGGGAACATCAATCACTGAGTTGTATATGTTTTTATTTTCAAGCTCTCATTGTCCTGAACAACAGCAGTCCAGTGTTAATGACGTTCAAAGAACTTAATATCATTAAAAGAAATTGTTTGAGCTACAAATTTTCATAATCCCAGAATGTTCGTTTATATACTCAATAATTAACAGTATGAGAATTTATGAAGGTTGTAGTATTTTCACAGTTGAATTCACGAGTCGATCTAAGCTAGACCACCATTGAAAACCTGGAAGCACTAGGTTGTGCAAGAATATGGATCGATTGAAGTTAGACATTAACACCGTTGGATCCCGGCTCAGTGGTCTAGAGGTTGAGCGTTCTCGTGCGAGACCGAAGATCCTGCGTGTGGAGTCGTGGATGTATACTGCTGAGTCCCATACTAGGACAAAACGGCCGTCCAGTTCTTCCAGGTTTTCAACTGTAGTACAGCTTAGATTGACTCGGTAATTCAACTGAAAAAGTACATATCGATAATTTTCTTATCTCATTTAAAACATATCTACATTTCAAAATTTGAAAAATTCCCATATTGTGATTTAGAACAACATATATAAGCGAACAATATTGTTTTCGATTAGATCCTCATCAGGCTATACTCTAATATACAGTAATATTTATATGCATATACGAAATTATTAAACCAATCAAGGCAGTTTATGAGTCAATGATAACAGTGGAATAGATTACATAATCAAAATTAATAATAAGTAGAAAGTACAAATTGGTAATGTAATGACAGGTGTACTAGTTGTGATAAGAATAATAAAAGGCTTGAATCAATGTTACATAATAGGGAAATAGGCCAATGATTAGAAAAAATATAGACACTGAAATAACAATCATAGAAATGATAAGATTACGTAATAAGAAGTGTTCAGATAATTGGACTGTTAAGTGAATATTAGAAAAAATAATTAGTAGGGGGGTGAAGAAAAATAAACGAAGAAAGAGTATGGAAAATAAGATTATTTATTAAGGCCAAGGGAGGGATAAGGGTGTTACAAATTTCTTATGAACACAAAGACTTGGGTTGTTGGATCGAATTCCTATAGCTTCTGCTGTGTGTAGGAGACGAGATAATATTTTCTAATCATTGACCTATTTTCCTATTATGTAACATTGATTCAAGCCTTTTATTATTCTTATCACAACTAGTACACCTGTTATTACATTACCAATTTGTACTTTCTACTTATTATTAATTTTGATTATGTAATCTATTCCACTGTTATCATTGACTCATAAACTGCCTTGATTGGTTCAATAATTTCGTATATGCATATAAATATTACTGTATATTAGAGTATAGCCTGATGAGGATCTAATCGAAAACAATATTGTTCGCTTACATATGTTGTTCTATATCTACATTTGTTGTTATAGTACAAGAGCATATTAAATTTATACACTAATTTTCTCTTTCATTTATCATTTATCACATAAGTTGCTAATAAACAGTTAATATCATTAGATATTAGCATATCACGTAAATGGACTGACGCATCCATCCAGATAACTATATATATATATATATATATATATATATATATATATATATATATATATATATATATATATATATATATATATATATATATGCATGAAATAATCTTTCAGACTATTTACTCCAGCGACACATAAATTAAATTTCGAAAGTGATAATACTTCGAGAATTGTTGCATCTAACCAGTGGCACCTTGCGGTAACTACATGTGGTTTCCAACAATTTGTTTTGAGGGAATTCTTTCTCTTTAGTTTTAAACTGCAAATATTCATACCATTGTTTCATATACACAAAAAGTACAAATCATAGTTGAGGTTACGAGCTTGTATAACATGATTGCTAAGTTACATTTGAAATAAACTGACCAGATTACCTTGAAGTTCTTTACTTTTCAAATAAATTTTTGTTTTAACACTTATAATAATAGAAAAAGTTGCTAACGATTTCTTGGCGAAACTTCAACCTACTAATGTTGAACAACAGAACCAACAACAACAAAGTATGGATTTCCGAGTACCAGAATTGCAAACTTCCAGTAGAATTAACCATTTACCATTCTCTACTAATAGTCTACCACGTTCATTAACATTGAAACATAATTGTTATAGTCAAGGAAATAATAATCATAAGCATGAAATGTTACCATCTGTCATTAAATCACACGGATTACTACGGCATTCACCATCATTTTCTGTTGTTAATGAAGTTTATTCAAATTATAATCATAGTCAATATGAACAAAACTATGTCAATACACGTTCTAATTTATTCTCATTTTCACAACCTGCTTCACCTGCAGTCTCTCGTTTAGTTTCAACTAGTGATAATTTGAATACATCAAAGAATCAACCTATTGATATTTTAATAAATAATAAATTAGCTTCAATGTCCAATTCTGCACAGCAGTCTGCATTACAGTTTACTATGTATGTACAAAATATCACGAATAATAGTATAACTTTTGGTAAAGAGGGTAAATTTCAGGTGAGTGCATATAAGTGTGTCTAATTTGTTCCGTTTATTGAATATTTTCTTAGATACAAATACTTCAATGTTTTATATCACTTAATTTATTCACAAAAGTGTAAAATTATTTATTTAAACATATAAACATTGGTACAAGGAGACACTATATATATGCACCACTCCTCGTCATTTGATTTTTATGAAGACTGGAGTACTGTCTGAGCGCCCAAACTGAATGAAGTGGTTTTCTTAGGGAGCCATTCTCCGGGCCTCTGACCTAGAGGTCTAATCCACAAGATGGTAGGGAAACATTAGGAGATCTGCTCCCATGGTAATCTGTGATCAACAATAAGTTCATACTCCGTTTGTTCCCTCAGGATCCTGGAGCTCATGTGCACTATTGGTTTGGAATCAGGGTTTTCCAACTCCCCTAAATGGATCCAACCTGGTTAAGGTGTCGGACATTCGCTTTTCGTCCTCTCAATTTCTTAAACAATGTCCCCACCCCGAGAAGGCAGTGAGTAGGACAATTTAAATAGTGAGAAGCGTTATTCATTTAAATCATTCATAGATTCATCATATATAATCAGCCAAAAAATTGCATAGTGTAGTTAGTTGGACTGGTGATTTTTGAATAGAAACTGTTAGTTGAAGTTTATAAAAAAGATATTTAACGGTTTAAAGTAAAGTTAATTGGTTTTGCTTTTGTTTGCACTATTACAGTAAATTGAAAACTGTATTAATAAATATTGATACCCATTAGTTTCCAAAAAACCTAGATATTCCACTAATTGGTGGACTACGCTTTTCTCTTCATACAGTTCACACTATTCATTTCAGATTTTCGAAATGATGCTATAGTATGATTTCATCTGCTTAGAGAATTTCTTAACATACTTTTACTACAAATAACATCAGTATACACCAGTTTACAAGAAATCTTAGCCAATGATATTACATGAATACAATAATCAGCTGTCGAAACTAAAGAAAAATAGTTATTTATCGGAATTAAAAATCCCAATAGAATACATTGAAATAACTTAATTATTTTAGAAAATACTTGATGTTATTGAATGTTAGAGTTTGATCTTATTAGTGCAGGCCCGGATGGGGGATTGTTGAATTTTGTAGTTTATGTCATAACACAACTAGACAACCTTTCGAAATAAAAGGGAAGAAAACTTTTTTAACCTCTAAAAGTCAAATTGTGATGCCACAACTGTTTATTTTGTAGTTTGATTATCTTGGGAAGTAACTTACATGATAAAGCACCCAATCAGAGAATCTGGTCACTGTGCTTTCTTCATACTGAAACGCTGCGACAAAATTAATTAAATATCATTTCCTATTTCATTTGATAGGAAATATTATTTTGGAAGTCATTTTGTATTCACTCTCGATAGTTTCCTTCTGATTGAAGGTCACTCGAATGTTGAAATAGATATCAATATCAGTAGAAGCGGAGCTCGGTTATTCGCAGATGTAAATTATGCCAAGATCTAATTTTCCCAATCAGAATAAAATCTAAAAAGCTCTGAGGACTATATTTTATTGACATTTGATTTTTTTAATTATATCAATACTGGATTGTAGCTCACTAACCTCATCTTTCACAACAAACGAATGTGACTAATAACGTATTTATCGATCAAAAGACTAATATTCTAACAGAATATTCAATTTAATTCCTATGTTAGGCATAGAATTGCTTAGTTTTTGACTGTCTTACACATCAGAAGAAAAGTGTTTGTTTCTGCTTCATATTACTTGTTTCTTCCTCTTTTTTTAGCGTTTTATTTGTCATGCACTTCGCGATCATCTACTCTCTGATTGGTTATCTATATTGGCAATTAGTCCTATCACTTATAATATGTATGAACCAAGAAGTTTTTTATTAAGCCATGATTTAAGGAAGATAATACAAGATTTGTTAACTTCACTGGATGAATTCAATTTGACGTTTGAACCTGCTCTACTTGGTAGTGATATTTAAAACTAGTTTGTACTTCTTTATATTTATTTACATCCGAACATCGTTTTCAGGTTGCATTCTATTTTAATGTTTTCTTCTCTGCGAATTCCTCTTTCATAGTATCTACAGTTTTATTTATTTATTGACTTATTTATTTATTTATTTGAACACATAAACATTGGTGCAAGGAAGCACCAAATATACATTCACCACACTGTCATTCGATTTTTGTGCGTTGGAATACCGCCTAGGCGCCTAAACCAAAACAGCATTTTGGAAAGAAAGGAGAGAACGGCGATGATATGAAGTAGAGATGGAAACTTTAATTCCTATATATATTTGTTATTTTTTATTTTTGTTTATTCACTGATATGGACAAAAAATATGCATATTCTTGTTGATCACAAAACTTTGCGTTTTCTCATTTTGCATATTGACGCAATTTATTCCTATTTCTTTCACTGTAAATCATCATAGTCTCATTATCGTCACGGTTGACGTTTAACTATTACATAATCACCATTACCATAATTATCATTTATTGTCTTTTTTTATATCTTCGATCTACTTTTTATCAACTTTTCTTTCAACAAAAAAGTAGAGATCTCTGTTTCTTTTTTAAATTGTGTTCAATTAGTAGAATCGAATGATTCCACAACTTCAACATTAAATATAATTTAATGAGTTGAGAGATACACACAGTGTTAATTCTTCATAATATATATTCCTCCTGTTGATGAACTTTTATAAGGAAAGAACAACAAAATTAGCTGTTTGATGAAGAACGATAGGTGAGACAATTTTACTCCATATGGTGTGCTCTAAATCTATGAACCGAATTCGTTTTTGTTATTAAAGAAAATACAGTATGTATTCATTTGACACACAACCCAAAATTGTTATGATTCATGTTATATTCAATAATCCTTTATTTTGTTACATTTTTTCATTACAGTCCTTTATGTAGTGACCATTTCACACACACACACAATTTCTTTATGATTTTAATTCACTTTTCTAGTCAATTTCTGTGTTGTGTTAGAGTTCTTCATTTTTATTTGGAGATTCTTTGCAATATATGAAATATTTATTATTATTGGTGGTGGCGGTAGTAGTAACAGTAACCAGCATGAATCACTATATGTATTTTATAGAATTTCCTTTTGTTTTATGTTTAACCTATTTAATGCCAACCGTCAGGTCTTTTTTTCGTCTTAAGAAAATTTACAATAATCATTCAATTTGAAAGAAATTCAATAAAACAAGTAACACTTTTTTTTCTATGTACAACTCGAACTTTTTTAAAAATTCTTTTTTTCACTTACTGAATTGAATTATTAATGAATTCGTTGTCATACTCTTTGACTGACTAATCCCAGTTTTATGTATGTTATATGCAAATGTTTTAATACTTAGAAATAGTTAACTATTAGCGTCATTGTGCTCAATACATTTAGAAGAATTTTAGTGGGTTTTTATTTGCTGAGTTGAATAGTTTGATCGTAATATTTTTATTGTCCTGCATGACAAACCATTTACAACAGTAGCGATGGGAACTTCAAAAACAATTGAGCTATGTGGAAATATTTCCAAAAGTGACGACTAGTTCGTTAAGTTGATGACACGGTAATTCGTCAACGTAGTCTCAGATTTGAACCTTGCTCCAGATATTTTGGCTCGGTCAACTGTGTGATCATCTTTAGCCATGACAAAATGTTTTCTCGAATAAACGATATAGGACGTGGTTAGATGCTGTCACTAATTGTACTACCTCTATTTATTTTGATTCACTTTTACCTTAAGCTAGGCTTTAATTATGTAATTGTTTATCATTAAGCGGTAAATTGGATTTGTTTCATGATACCTATTTACTGACGATTATCATAGTTTGCAGAAATTCTCTAGCCTTTGTTCTATGAAAATTTAAACGTTATCCTAATAGAACATGTGTGTTTGCATAGGTTAATATGACTCAAGATACGTGTATGCTACTTACGTTTGCAGATATAAGTAGTATGTGACTCCAGTCGGAAGTGGGATGTCTGCGAGAAAAAGGTCAAGAAGATTGAAATGAAGAGAAGAGCGGAGGAAACAGAAAACAATCAACATAACGGGGATGGAGGGACAATGAAGCTTGTAACGGACTATTCAAAAAAGATGTGCGAATGATGTATTTAATGTATGATTTTCACGTTTTGATAAACCACTGTGATTATGCATTAAACAATAAATTGATTGTCCTAACCTAATTTCTCATCCTCTAAACTATAATACGTACTATTTTTTTGTATTATTAAGCCCTTTAATCTACATATGGTTTCCTAAACAGTACCTATTTCCTGAAGTCATCAGAAATCTTTCCTTAATTTTTCTTAATTCCTCGTGCGTCCCCAAATGCCCTGGTACGGCCGAGAGTGGGGAGAGTCTACTCTCCCTCTCGAAATGCTCTCACATGGCCAGCGAATATATAGCCTCTGCCAGGGAAGTCCTACTCACTGCCTTCTCGTGGCGGGGGTGTTGTTTACGAAAGTGAGAGGACGAAAAGCGAATGTCCGGCGCTATAACCGGATTGGTGGACACGGAGGGTCCATCTAGTGGAGTTGGAAAACCCTGATTCCAAACCAGTGGTGCACATGGGCTCCAGTATCCTGATGGAACGAATGGCGAATGAACCTGTTGTTGGTCACCGGCTACCATGGGACTGCATCTCCTCACGATGCTCCACTGCCTTGTGGATCAGACCTTTAGGTCAAAGGCTCGGGGTGTGGTCCCCTAAGCAAACCACCTGCTTCGGTTTGGGCACCCGGGCAGTATCACAGCCCACACACAAATGAATGAAATTATGAACTCTATTGACGATAATATCCCTGGTCATACTAAAAGCAAGATAATTAACATTATTATTACCTTTATTATTATTATTTACCATATCGCTAACTCACCCCCTTTTATCCCCAATTTGTGTAACCTTACTTTTCAACTTATGCAGTAGCTCGCCCATGGTGGAAACTCTGTCCTATCTAAACGATCTCCAGTCATTGTCTGGTTGAAAGTGAATGCTTCCACCGATTACGAATACTGAAGCAGTCTTTCTGAAACCACGTACGCCGTTCAAGCTGGCTTCCTTCAACGTTCGCACACTAATGCAGATCGGACAACAGATGGGGCTGGCTATGTCTTTAAAAAGTCATAATGTTGATGTTTGCTGTCTATCCGAGACCCGTATTCAAGACTCTAGTGAAGTACTACAAATTCGCTCTCCATCTGTCGCCTCGAAGTGCTTGTTCCACGTGCGCTTATCCGGGGACCCTGTGGCATCTTCGTCTGGTCTTGCAGGCGTTGGTGTCGCACTAAGCGCTAGAGCTGAGGCAGTACTAATCGATTGGATCCCCATTAACAGTCGGTTATGTGCTGTTAGATTAGAAAGTTCCATCAAAGTGAGAAGAAATCGGCGTGAAAAACGGTGTCTTTTCGTCATCTCCGCCTATGCCCCGACAGATTGCATCCCGGATGCAATCAAGGATGAGTTTTACCACCAGTTAACAGTTCTTCTCCAGAAAGCGCGTTCGACAGATATTGTAGTACTAGCCGGAGACTTGAATGCGCAGGTCGGGCGTCTAGGCACAGAAGAGAGTCGTCTAGGTGGCCGATGGGGACTTGTTGGTGGCCGGACAGATAACGGGGACCGTATGCTGCAACTGTGCACAGACCACAACCTGTTTCTGGCTAGCACTAACTTCCGGCACAGTCATCGCCGGTGTGCCACCTGGCGTCCTCCCTCTGCATCCCAAGCCTGTACTCAGATTGATCACATCGCGACCAGCTACCGCTGACGTGGTTGTGTACAAGACTGCCGCTCCTTTTGGAGTACCTATCTGGAGTCTGATCATGCCCTGGTCTGCGCCAATCTCACCTTACTTTTCAGTGGCCGAAGGATTGACCACCACCAACGGATCGATGTTAGTAAACTGGCTGCAACTTCTGTTGCAAGTAAGTATAGAGACGAGCTAGCTTCTAGGCTAGCTACCATCCCACCGAAAAGTATAAATGAGCATTGGTTGCATCTTCACGACGCCATAAAAATGGCGAGTAAAGCCGCTAGCGGCCTCGCGAAACGTCCCGCTTACAAGCACTGGGTTTCTTCTGGCTCCTTAGAACTGATGGAAGTCCGTCGGTCTACTCCGGGTGACCGTGAGTTTGACCACAAACGAAGGCTGTTACGTAATGAAATCGGGCAAAGCTTGCGTAAGGACCGGGAACCCTGGTGGTCGAAGCGTGCTAATGAGATGGAAGCAGCAGCTGCATCTGGTAACTGCCGGAAGCTCTTCCAACTCATCCGAGCCACTGGTAGCAAGAAGTCTGGTGTGAGTGAAACAATCTGCAAAAGGATGACGGAATGCCAATTACTAACATCTGTCGACGTCTTGGACGATGGGCGGAATTTTTCGAAGGGCAGTTCAACTGGCCTGCTGCTCCGGCAACATCAACCAGTTTGTCCTGCCCACCATGGCCGGTGACGACTGATCCACCAAACGAGGCGGAAGTCCACAAGGAACTCCAACTCTTGAAACGTTACAAATCACCTGGCCCAGATGACTTACCTCCGGCTCTTTTTAAAGATGGTGGTGACTTTCTGGCTAAGGAACTGACTGCGTTGTTTGTAAAGGTTTGGGAGATAGAGAGTGTTCCAACATCATGGAATGAGTCAATAATCGTCCCTATCTTTAAAAAGGGTTCACGTTGTTCCTGCAATAACTACCGGGGGATAAGTCTACTTTCGATTGCGTCCAAACTATTGGCTTCTATCATTCTTCGTATGTTGTTTAAAACCCGAGAACGATTGACTCGCGAGGAGCAGGCTGGTTTTCGTTCTGGTCGAGGATGCATTGATCACATCTTCACCCTCCGCCAAATGTTAGAACACCGTCATACTTATCGCAGGCCAACAATCGTAGTATTTCTTGATATCAGGGCTGCCTTCGATTCGTTGGACAGGACTGTTCTCTGGGATTGTCTATTGAAGAAGGGTGTGCCTGAGAAGTTCATTAACATCTTAAAGGCCCTGTATACGAACACCTCAGGCAGAGTGAGGGCATACAACCACCTTTCTCCCTTGTTCCATTCGAGCAGTGGGGTTAGGCAGGTTGCCCGATCTCACCATTCCTCTTCAACTTTGCCATCGCTGACATCCTGGAAACAGCTCTGATGAATGCAAGTAATCGCGGTGTGGATATGTTGCCTGGAGAACGACTTCTCGACCTCGAGTATGAGGATGATATTGTCTTACTGTGCGATAATGCCCAAGGCATGCAATCCGCACTTAATCAGTTAGCAATCAGTGTCCGCAGGTACGGCATGTGCTTTGCACCCTCCAAGTGCAAGGTACTCCTACAAGACTGGCAGGATTCTCATCCTGTACTCACCCTGGATGGTGAGGAGATCGAAGTAGTTGAGAAGTTCGTGTATCTAGGTAGCTATATAAGTGCTGGTGGTGGCGTGAGTGATGAGATTGATGCACGTATAATGAAAGCCAGAGCGGCTTATGCCAATCTGGGCCATCGTTGGCGCCTTCGTGATGTCAGTCTGGCTGTAAAAGATCGGATCTACAACGCGTCGGTGAGAGCAGTTTTGCTCTATGCTTGTGAAACCTGGCCTCTCCGAGTTGAGGATGTCAGACGTCTCTCTGTGTTTGATCATCGTTGTCTCCGAAGGATTGCTGACATCCAGTGGCAACACCATGTTAGTAATGCAGAGGTTCGGCATCGTGTGTTCGGGCGCCGGGACGATAATTCAATTGGTGTCACCATCTTGAAACATCGACTTCGGTGGCTTGGACATGTTTTACGAATGTCGTCCCAGAGACTTCCACGTCGTGCATTATTTGCCGACTCTGGGACTGGTTGGAAAAAGCGGAGAGGAGGTCAGTGTATGACATGGTGTCGTGGCATGAAAGAGAGCTGCAAAGGGCTAGCTTTTGTTGGTCCTTCACGACTCCCTGGTTGGGGTCCGAGAGATAGTGCAACACAGTGGCTAGAGACGTTATCAGATATGGCTCAGAATAGAAGCCAGTTACGATCCTGCCGTAACCTTCTTTTACTTTCTACATAAAGAATGGTTCTAAATTTCCTAACTGAAAGAGTCTTCTGGTTGTACATTTCAGCCCACCTTATCTTTTCATCCCTTCTCTTTCTACTTTCATTATTTTGTGGCGCATATGTACCTGGTGCCCTTTTGTACCAATATATATGTGTTTAAATAAATAAATAAAATAATTCCTCGTACTATAGTGCACAGCAACGTAGCTGGACGAAATCGTTTTTTAGACTATGAATCTGAGTTACTATGGCTGATTTTAAGTCATATCAATTAAATTATAAAGTCACAAGCTATGGCTATACTACAGGTCTTAACTAATCCGTTTTGCTGAGGTTTCCTGAAGATTAATTTGATTTATAGGCTTTATTGG